GACGTAACATGTTTAGTTAATTATGTTCACAAGGCTGGGCCCTTTGACAACGTTTACCGACCACAACGCTGATGATATACACTATTGCAGCCGAACATCTATTCGGCTTTATTGGACCGCCCATCATTAACGTAATTTTAACAAGTGAGATGTTTTTGACGTTTCAATTGAGATGTTCAGAATAATGCAGCTGACCAGTGAAAGTATTGCAAATTAGTCAAGAAATTTTCGAACAAATCTCACTTACCATTGTGATTGAAGCTGTGATATGAATAACTTAAACTGAAAGGAAGAGTGTGGACATTTAGAGTCCGCCCAACCCCACTTAGCCCTTACCAATAATACCGCCAAATGTTAGAACACTGAAATCAAAATAATAACATCAAGACAATATGTCTCATCAAGGATGGAAATTCCTTTGTCTAACTTTTACGCAGTCGAGTGTAACTGATACACACGAGTGTAATTGATACCCACGAGTTTAACTAATCGTTATAGTCCACCTTGTTAATTATTATCATTATCATATGAAGTATAGATAAAACGACAATTTAAGAAATATACTCAATGTACTTGATACGTGATGTGAATAATTTAAAATGTATATTTCAGTTGTGTTTGACAGCAACCGCTGGTTTCACTCAACAGAAGTGATGGAAGGAGAATACAGTTTAACCATAGGAGCTGAGTACGACTAGTTGATTAATTAACGATTAATTAAAAATTGATTAGTTAAATTATTGACAATTTGTTCATTACTAACCTTTATTTTATGCGATCCTAGAAATTCGTTCACAATTTTCTTATCAGCATGATTATCATGACTATTGATCGATGATTTCTTCACCTTATTTCTGAAAAATATGTTCGTGAATACGCTTTTGATTTGCTTTTTGCTAATTGCTGATTATAATGGAGACTCTAACCAATACCTTAAACAGCAGATTTTTCGTTAACATATTAAATTATTTTGTTCCATAACGAAATGATTTAAATTATCATGACATAATGAGCTACATGCCTGCTACTTGCTGGAAGGTAATACCATATATGGCCTATATTACTAATGGATTATGATCAGTATTATTATATAGTGATGGAGATTATATTACTGGCAATACACCGAATACAGATTTAAAAGTTTATGAATTGGTTATTTGAAGATTTTTAACTTAAGATTTCAACAACAAGTTACAAGATGAAGCTGAAGGTTAATTAAAATCTGCAGAAGATATTGATTCTAACATTCTTTATTATTACAATTTAATTCTACTATTTTGATGTATCATATTATTGTAATATTTAGATATCATTACTCTTATGATACCTTAGACAAAATTTCAATGCTTTTGGTGGTTTACAAACATAAATAACAATGCATCGGTGATAAAATTACAGTTCCGGGGGGGGGGGGGGGGGGGGGGGGGGGGCATATGTTAACAATTCATATGTTAACAATTCATATGTTAACAATTCAATGTTGATTTGGTGTGGCCAAAATTGGGTGTGGCCAAAATTTAAAAATATGATTTTTAAATTTTGGCGACGGAATCCTCGAATAAGTAGTTGTACAGTTGTATACCATCCGCAAATTTACAGATCTCAAATATGAAAAATGGTTATGTTATAAGCCCCAACGTATATCTGTATATATACTGACTTTTGGCCCACCCCTGGCGCTGTTCAGTGTACATTTATATTAAATGTACTGAGTCAGAAGTCTAGAATGGTCCAGATCTGGCATTTGTTATATATGATAATGCGAACAGTCCCTCATTGGTTTTGGCGGGTTACTAAGGGACCTGAGGAAAACTAAGTTCAGCAAGACCCAATGTAACAGCCAAGGTAACAATGTTCGTACACCCGGGTTTGATACACGGCGTGATATAAAGAGGGTAGCATTATTATAAACTCTGAAGAAAGCTCGTAAGAAATACGCAATCAGCTTAATTTACTTCCTTTATTTAGGCCAATGGCAATTTTCATGTTACCTCAAATCCTGGCGGCGACCTCCAATTGTTTCGTATACGATATAAGCCGCGCTGCACGTACTACTTTTTAAAATGTTACTGGATCGAATTGAAGAACTACGCATTGATTTGTATATTAAACATGCATGCCGCTTATTTCTCTTCGCCATTTAAGTTACAGAGTACAGATGGGTCATAATGCCGGATCATTCATCACTGTTAGATTTACCTGAGGACCCCAGGCTTTAATGTTGTTAGAGATCAGGGCCGCGCTCAGCCTGTCATTCCGCCTAATCTATGTTGTTTAACAACATTAAAGCCTGGGGTCCTCAGGTAATGGACATGTGGCTGGATTGTTATTGCTATGGGAGACTGGCAAAAAATTATTATATTGCGCGCGCGGCGCTCGTGCGGAAGAAAATGGCATTTTCACCACAAAATATTTATCGCGCGTGCTCAAGGGAACCGATTCTCCCGGAACCGATTCTCCCGCCAAATCTAATACAAATTAGCTATGGCGTCACTGCACCATGCTACGTAATCCAAACCATGCCAACAAGGAACGCAAACACACAATAAATCTTGTATTGTAAAGTCTTCTTGTAGGCACTAAAAGTTACATTTCTATTGGTGTTTTACATTGCGGCCATTTCAAAATAAGAACGAAGTTTTAATAGGTTTTAATATTTACATGTTCATATTAATTAACACATGTTAACATTTACATGTTCATATCAATAAGTTATATTTCGTATTATTGATATAAAATTAAGCTAATAAGGATAAAGGACTCTTTATAATTCCAACCAAAATGTATTCAGTGATCCAAACTTGTGAAAAATTTCAAACCAAAATTCAACCATCTATGAAGAAACAAAAACGAAAGAAAATAGCCTTTAAACCTATGTACAATTAAAAAAGGTTTTCTATCTATTAAAGCAGGTATTTCTATTTCCTATGTCAAATCCAATCTAAAAACACTTTAAACGACATCAACTGACCAACAATTTGTAGCATACAAAACGGCCTTCCTATGAAAGAAAACAGGTTCGTAAAACATGTTCAAAATTTAGTCTGAAACAAAAACTGGAGGTTCTACTGATATAATATGATATGATAACTTAATAATACACAAATCTATATCTTACTCCGTGAAGAATGACAACAATCGGTGGACAATTGGGCAAGAATAAACTAAATTACAAAATGTAGAAAAAACGGATGAATTTTGTTCAAAACTGAACAGATAAGAACCTAAAAACTAAAATCGTGGACTTTATTTATTTCAGAAGGCATGGCTAATTAGAGAAACTTATAACTGATTAAAAGACACTTAATCTAGAGATTTTCTTATTTTCCAAGGTAACTAATCGATAATCGATAACGTCCTGATAATAATATAATAAAGTCAATTTCCAAAAATAATACTTTTTTGTTAACAACCTTCCAGATCAAATGATCCAAGCACATAGTCCAAACTCTTAGTCCATATCGTAATCGAATCAATATAACCTGAATGGAAACGAGAAAAGAAATCAAAAACGTTCTCTGAACTATGAAGCATCATTATCGCATAGTAATGGGAGTACTGAAGTATTGCTATATTATATACACACACACACGCACACGAGAAACATACTACTTTGGGGTCGTTCACAATTCACTTGTTACGTAATCAGCCGAGGGCCAGGGGGAGGGGGTTTAAAAATTATTACGCTAGTGTGATCTTGGCACAATAGCTATGTGTAAAACTGATAACGGAGGGGGGAGGGGAGGTCAAAAATCCTCCAATAAGTGATTACGTAATATGTGAATTGTGAACGACCCCTTTATGATAATAATATAGTCCTAACAAAATATAAAGTCTAAGCAACTAACTCAACTAAAATCATTTAAAACACACAAAAGTCTCACACATTATTCATGCTAATCTCAACTTTATTTAACCCAACAAATTATCAACAACATATTGTTACCTTCAATTTGGCTGACCAAAATAGGTTGCTTACTGATCCAACTTTGTTCCACAATTGTGGAATTATTAACAATTATCAATCACCAAAGCTTTAATTCAAAGTTTTTTCCACCGAATAGAATAATGTCTAGCAGCAAACCAACACCAGTAATAGTATGCTATGTTAGTAGAATGTATGCCTGAGTAGCTGAAGTCTGTTTATTGGGCAAAATGCTGCTTAAATCTAAAGGTGTGGGGGGGGGGGGGCTCAGAATGAGCAGCAAAATTAACCCCCTCTCCTTGTCTCTGAGGCCAAACTGTAAACTTTCACCGTGTTTCTTAACCATTAACCATAAGTTCATTCATTAACTAATCAGCTAATCGATTAACTAATTGGCTTATAACTTGGGGGGGGGGGGGGGCCAACCATATTAAAGTATATTAAAATGTAGGATTTTTTCCAATTTTGACCCGGGGATATACTTTAATATACTTTAATATACTTTAATATACTTTAATATACTTTAATGTACTTTAATATACTTTAATGTACTTTAATATACTTTAATATTCCTACATTTTCTCTATTAAAATTTTGAATCCATATTACTTACCATATACTTGACCAATTTATGAGCCAAAATATATGAATTATGAGTTCAGGGGACTAGCAACTGGCTTATCTTCTAATCTACTAATTGTAGGTATATTAAAGTATATTAAAATGTAGGTTTTTTTTTCCAATTTTGACCCGGGATATACTTTAATATACTTTAATATACTTTAATATACCTACATTATAAAAAATTATGTGAAAAATTTTGTTGTATTTAATGTATAGATTAGATTTACCTTACATGTAAAGTTAGTCTTGTTCAAAGATATTGATACTTGACCAATTTATGAGCCAAAATATATGAAGTATGAGTTCAGGGGACCAGTAATTTGCTTATCTTCTAATCTACTAATTGTAGGTATATTAAAGTATATTAAAATGTAGGATTTTTTCCGATTTTGACCCGGGGATATACTTTAATATACTTTAATATGGTTGGCCCCCCCCCCCCCCCAACTTTACCAATCAATCTAAAAACTGAAATTTCACATGAAATCTATCCACCAGACACTGTTCATAGTTCTAAAATTCTTCTCTTACGTGTCCAACTGTCCATGGCAACGCATTTCTTAATCACGTGATTACGTTGAGCATCTTGCCACAGTTTAGTGGAATGTATGGAATGTTGATGTCACGTGACATGTAGCCATGGCGACGCATCACACTTGCTTGGATACACTGTTGAGTCTCGTGAACTCACGGGAGTTTGAGGGTGTTTGTTTTGTTTCTGATCTCCTGAAAAAGGAATGTTTAATTAACAATAAGAGGATACAGTGCTACAAGAACAACAATAAACGTCACGTGTAATAAATTAAAAATAAAATGTGTAAATGTGCCACTTTTCTCAGATTCTCAGTTTATTTTATCTGCCGGAACCAGCGTGCACTGTTTTCTATACACGTGACACATTTTGACCCGGTATACTTATTATATTAATTAAAGGTGGATACGATATATTAGATCCGGAGTGGCGCGATTAGGTTTTAAAGTTTCTGAAATGTTTACCATTTTAACCAGCTTTTTCAACCGATAATTTACCGAGTATTTGAAGAATTAGCTAGCACTAATGCACAACCAGGCAGTGAAAGAGAATACACGGTGGTTCATTATGATAGATTGTGCGAGCTAGGTATGTAGGAGAGACCATTATAACATTCCCTTAGTCAGTGGTCAGACCGTGCACTATCGCACTATCGCACTATCGCACTATTGCACTATCGCACTATTGCCACCTGATCCATGGATGGAATCATTTAATGTTTGGTACGTCTCAACTCTCGATCTCAATTAGTCAAATACTTGTAACAATTAATCAACATGTATTAACACGAACGTGCATTATAACAGAGCAAATTAGATTTAAATGGATTTTGACGCAATCCTGCATGGAATGAATATCCTGGGTGCTGACGAAAAATGTTAACAGGAACTGGCCAGAATTATACAGTTATTCTAGGTAATGTTCTACATAATAAATTGAAGGCACTTTAAGATGCTGTGAACAAGCCGCTAGTTCCGGGGTTTAAATAAAGTGCTTTGTGTCTAAATATTTAAAGACAAAATATTATTTAAGGTCATGTTCCAAAAACAAGTGCCTCGTACAACAGCAGACTACAATCCTTAAATATTTTCACTGTAATTAAATTTAAACCCGGTAATTTCTCTAAAATTAACTTAATTATGTCCAATTGTCCGTGGTTTTATTCATGGCGGAGAAACACTTTTCTAAAACACCTGCTAAATAAAGAATCAATAATTTTACACTCTGAGAACGAGTCTAAAAATACCGCTAACAACATTGACCAACAATGTAGTCTACAGACGGGCACTTGCTGTGAAATGGAAACATCGTTATCAGTTTATAATCCAATGATACGGTGTGATACAAATATACAAAATGTATACTGTACAAAATGTATATGTATAGATACAAGTGGTTAGTGGTTACACGAAGGTCATTGTTTTGTTGTAGTTTAGTTTTTTAATTAAAGGTGGGGAATTAAAATTCAATGAGGATTTAATATATAGCAGGGTAGATTAACATACTTTTAAAAGCACCCGGTGTATTCTGAAGCATAGTTATACAAATACACTCAATTTGTACACTCATTTATCGGGAGTCAAAATGGCATTCTATCATAGTTCTTTTACGTAATATAATTATATAACTTGTATAGGGTTTAAGTATTGTGACATGATCTAAAATTCACATTTTTTACTGAGTCTATATTAGCAAGAGAAGATATATTTGGTTATATTATTTTCGTTTGAGAAACCAACATTGTTTTTACATACCTTGAACCCATACAAAAGCAAGTAACGTATTTACTTTAGGGCTTGTTATTTGTTATTTTAAAGACTCGACGCACTGCGGAGTGTTTTAATAATACTTTTTACAGCTCACAAACACACTAAGTCTATAAATTGATTTATATACTTAAAATCTAGTTGTCAGTGTTAACTGCTATAATGGCAATACCCAAATTCCGAGGTCACAGCGGGAATTATTTGCATCTTGTTTTTCATTTTAAAACGAGGCCTGTACAAAATACGAGGCCTGTGGAATTATTTTTTCTACAAGAATCCCAGTGCACAAAGAAACGATAACTGTACACTGTACAGTGACGAAAACACCGGCAGCACCTTTGGTCCTTTGGTCCTTTGGGCTGACATTAATTATTCAACTTCTTTGTAAGTATATATTATAACACTTCAGTGCGCAAATAGGCAGCACTTTGTTAGTAGTTTATTCAATTATTCAACTTCTCGGAGTAGCTGTCCGTAGTGTTGAGAGGGCAGTGGCAGTGCTGCTACCATACAGGACGAATGTTTTATAATATGATAACCTGATTAAGTCGTGTAGTAACTAGTATTTGATGATTCTTTCAAGAGCTCAAGAGCTTTTCTGATTTTTTCTCATCACTGAGTCTATTCAGAAAAGATCAGGAATTTCCTTGAAAGAATCATGATTACCTCATCATAATGCAAAAGAAAGAAGCGTCACCTTTCCAGTTTATTTTTGGATTAAGTGTAAAGAAATCTCTTACCTTGTCACCCTTCCATTTTATTGTTGGGTTAAGTGTAAATAAATCAACAAGTCTAGAATTTAAGCTCCATATTGTACATATTGCATATTCTGTAAATAGCATAATTGATAATGCATATTATGTTGGTGGATGTTTATGATGTGAGGTCTGACATTCACCTGCTTAGACTTATTTAAATCATCATTCGTTTTAAGATCAAACACTGAAAACACCACACATATATATTATCTAAATATAGTGTTTTAATACTTTACAGTTTACACTAAAGTGATATAATGTGATATAATCTAAGTTGAGCACTTTGCCGGAGGAGAAATGAACAGATCATGAGCAGTCACACTAAAGTTTAAAACATAACTACAGTTTAATTGTAGAACTTTCTTCTTTCATTTGGTGTTAAGAAGGATCAAGGATGCTAACGCACATGAATCCGTATATATATTAATTCTTAAATAAAAGCAAGTTTGTCGATGAATAAACAAGTTCCAGTGCTCTATGATCCAAATAATCTTACCACTAGATAAAACGATATGCGGTAAATAAATCTAATGATAGTTTAACATAAACTCTGCTTTTTCAGGTAAATTTCCCAAGTAACAACAGTCACTTGTCGCCCTTCAGCAACTTAACCATAGTAATTATATACTTAAGCTATTACCACAACTATCCATTATTATTCCAGAGTTACTGGATAAGCTCGTATGCATCTGTTACTATGACAACCATGCCAGTTATGTTTGTAACCATGACGACACAGCCAGAAACTGTAATTATTTCCTGATTATGTGTTCTACTGCCAGCCGGTCGTGTGTTTCAGTAAGAAACAGTTCCAGATATCGTGAGAAAATATGATATTTATGGTTTCGTATATCGTGATACAAAAAGGTCTCTTAAAATTATTAAAGATTATTAAGATTATATTTAAGTAATATTCGCTTATCTAGCGATGCTATAAATAACACAATATTATTCAGCGAGACATTTGTTTTATTTATTTATTCAAATGTACCTGCATTTTAAAGTTGTTTTTGCATTCTGGGGTGGGGAAAAATTTTTCTGGGGAAACATTTGGACATGTCACATAGGACCACTATTTTAGGCAACACCTTAAAACTTAACTAAATGATGTGTTTTTATACTTGATTATACAACACTCGTCACCACAAAGTTGTATATATAGTTAGTTATTAACACCAAAATAAACACTTCTTAAGTTTTTTAATGTTTCTTCTCACAAGTTCATTTTGTGTGTCTCAACCAGCACTATTGAACCGTGTCTAAATGTAGAAGTGTGTAATGAGTGAACCCCGAGTGAACACTGAACACTGGTCTCAACATTCCTCTAAACAATAGCGACTAGGGGGGGGGGGGGGGGGGGCCAGTGTGTTCAAACATTCCCATAAGTTTAAACTACCAGTTTATGATCCATTTGAAACTTCCCGTGGTTTGCCTTTAATGATAAATGAACTCTCACACCCTCATCAAGACATGAGTCTACCACATAACAACACATCATGTTCATTTCTACCACTATCCCACATTGTAACCAACAACAACAATACATCACAATACACAACAACAGTACGAGGGGCGGACTAAGGCTGGGACCTGGGTAATGACTGGAATGTAGTGAGAATCTGTGTGGGCACCTTAACAATGGGTCTGTGTATATATATGTGAGAATAGTGTATGGGGGCACCTACCGGGAATGCTGGAAATACCTAGCATAGTTGTGAAAGTGTATACTGGGTGTACCTATAAAGTGTGACTTTTTGAGAAATGATACAAAATATTATGAAGGAGCAGTTACTAAAAACTGTTCATCACTTGTGTCACTAGGGATCATTTAGGAGAGATTTTCCGGGCAGAATTTTGAGGAAGATCTTTAAAACGTTTTTTATAATATAATAATAATAATAAGTAGGAATATATACATCGCTTTATAGCCATAAAGAACTCCAAAACCCAAAGATTCAGTTCAAAACCATCTAAAGCGACTCATGAGTAACATGTACATAAGAACTTATTTTTATGAAGTATGGATTTTATGTGATGCAGGCCACTCCAACGACTAGGAGGAGACCTTACCATGTAACATGTATGTATGTCCTCAGCCATGAATAATGTCAATTTCAGACTTAAATATTTAATTTTTGGGAAGGGTGGCTTTTTTTGAAGGTGCTTAAAATTCAACTATATTTCTGACACAATTTAGTTAAAAATAACCGTGAAGTTTAATTCTGTCAAAAACTATTGAAAAAAGTCACATTTTATACGGTACATCCTGTATACAGTGAGATCCGGTATTATATAGTGAGAGGGACGAATTTGTTTTAACTCTAATTCTAAAAACTCGTGTAGGGCGAATTTGTATACATTATTAGATCAGAAGAGGGTGGATTTATCATGTTAGGAGATAGTTGATATTTTTCCAATAAATTTGTGAATTTCTCAGACACACGCCGAAAGCAAGAACATCCAAAATATTCTCGCAATTGTTTGTAATTTTTTGCTGGCTCAACTCCAAACCTTCATTGATCAATAGCGAGGTAATGATTTTGCATGCACAATGACACAATATATTACGTTAAATTAAATATATATTGTAATTTGTGCGTCATATTAAACATTTCCTAGTGCGAAGTAGAGGATGTTACAGTACAATCAAGCGTGCAAAAGATTTCTATAATCCAATTAACACCCACATAATATATAATATTAGAATTCAAACTTAATCCGTGCGTAAAAATAAACCTGGCATATTATCAAATATTTAAAGCTTTTTTTGTTTTCTTACTAAAATAGTAAGCAGTAGTATAGGAGTAGTATAGTGTATAGGAGACTATGTCTAACTTGTTAAATGTAAGACAAATAAGAAAATAATTTACGAAATGTCTCATTATATTATGCTTGTTTATTCGTGAAGTTATGAATTAAAGTGTAAATTATATATTTATGTTCAGGGTTGTGAAAGTTTCAGCTGTTTATCATAGATTTTGTAATTATTCCCCGCAATCCTCATTACTTTCCAATTCACACATTAACAAAGACAACACTTATATGCCACATAAATCGTTTAACTGTTTAAGACAATTAAATAACATAATACAATAATAATTATTAAATATTAACTTAATTATACAATAATATAAGAGTAAGAAGTTAACTTACGCGTTTTTGTGATTAGAGAAGGGTTCCCAAACATGGTTCATGCCAAGTTTCACAGCTACTACCACGCTGATACCACCCAGAGCGTCTATCAGGTAGTGGTGAGAACTGTACAGGGCTGCCCACGTGATCCATAACACGTGCAGTAGTCCAACCTGGGGTAATATGTTAATTAATCTGGGGTAATATGTTAATTAATCTGGGGTAATATGTTAATTAACCTGGGGTAATATGTTAATTAACCTGGGGTAATATGTTAATTAACCTGGGGTATATGTTAATTAATCGGGGTAATATGTTAATTAACCTGGGGTAATATGTTAATTAACCTGGGGTAATATGTTAATTAACCTGGGGTAATATGTTAATTAACCTGGGGTAATATGTTAATTAACCCGGGGTAACATCTGGGGTTATACGATAGATCTAATAATTATTCCTAGTAACGGTAAAATCCAGAATGAAATTTTGTCATGACCAAGTTTCATGACTGATTCCTCAAGATTATACAATTTTTCCTGGTTTAACTCTTGGCCTGTTGGCCACTAAATTTTAGTCGCTGCTATATTTCAAATAACTTGGACAGGACTAATTCAAGATGTCTGCGACAATACGAGGAAAAGTATCAGAATAAAACTTTCTAATTGTTGTCAAGTCTTCGCAAGTAAGTGTTATTACTTTTTTTGGCATCACTTCTTATATTCTTATCACTTCTTGTCGAAACTTACTTTACTTTTAATTGCTTGGTGCATCAAACATGAAGGTCTAAAACTGAAAACAGTGCGCTCGCGTTCAGAGCTGGATAAATCTCCACACTTTCCTATGTCTAGCTTCATAATGGTAAGCACAGTGCACGAAACGCACTGAATTTTCAACAAAAAGCGGTCACGAACTAATAATATTTTAAACAAGATATAAAGTGAATCATGCACTTATTTTAAACTTACTCTACTTAATGAACTAACAACTGGAATTTTTCATGTGTTGTTGGATAATACAAAATCGCAATATGAGAACTAAAAGAGAATTTATAAAGTTCATTATAGCGCTCAGCGCTGCGATGAGAAGAAGGAAGGAAAATATAGTTCTTAAAACTGGCACTCTGAATTATTATTACCTTGGTGCTGAACCAGGGTTTGTGAAGGAAGATAACAGTAGGCCACGCCACGTGAAGTGAAGGGAAGCTACCGAACTTTAGGGGTGATTTCCTGAAACGTTAACGGGTTAGGTTGGATAACTAGATCCTTAAAGGGTAGTCTACAGTCTACACGGATTGCAACATTATATTATACCCTGAAGTGTTACTTAGGATATTATACTGGGTTTACACTCTGTAGACGCTTCTATAAGGTCCTTTACGTGAGTCTGGGTATGGTTTAAAGGTCTTGTAACACTAATAAAGGTCTAGACTCTAGAGATGAGTATAGTTGTGTCACTATGTGTACAAGTCTCACTGTACACCTAAATACGCTTCCTCTCAGCTACTGTGTCATGATTCATGAAACTATATAACCCTTGATCATGATTCATGATACACGTGTTTATCTTATACTTGTGATCGGGTTCCTTCCAAAATCAGGTTCCTTAGCTCTCCGATTTGTTTATGCTATCTGAGATAACATCGCAATCTAATCTAACACTCCGGAGAAACATTCCACCCTCGCCACTGCTCAAGCTCAATACCAAAGCTTCAGCGCTCTCACTCTCCAAGATACACACTGTTATTGTCTTGTTTACAATACCTTCAGTCCATTAGACACTTGTTTAGATACATTAGAGAGATTACCACCCTGGCACTCCGGTATTACCTCCTCTGTAATTCCTTGTGTCTACCTAATTGCGCGTCTCAATGTAAACGCTGTCTTATAAAAAACGCAATGAAAGTCTAGACTCTGCTTTGAAACACTGTGTTCAGTACAGCTGACATTGTAAGGGGCAATTAGCTCACAATTAGCTGAAATTAGCTGAAATTAGCTCACAATTAGCTGAAATTAGCTGAAATAAGCTGAAATTAGCTCACATACTAACAATTAGGGACCGTGTAATGTATAGTTGCTAACTGTATTGGATAGAAGTTGGCAACATTGTTTCAGTGCTCATTGCGCAACTTTTAAGTTAACTATATTAATATATACATTAATTACACACGGTTGAGTTTGAATACTTCCCTCACCGGAAAACGGTATACAAACAACAACAACCACCCCCACTATCAACAATAAGTGGAATGGCTGATATGAGAGAGATACATTCCATGGACCCTGTCGTGAGTAACTCAATGTTGTAAGATAAGATAATGGACATAAGATAATGGTTCTAAGAGGCCTGGGAAGTTGCCAAGTTGAAACCACTGCTTTGTTCTCAAATTGAAGGAGTTGTCTTTATCAGAACAATATCCTTATATTTAAATTAATTTCTATTGGATCTGACATATCACTTCCTTCAGAACAGTGTCATACAATGGAGCTATTTAATGCCTTTATGTGCTCAAAGCCCCCAAACCTTATCTCTTTGTGATGTCCCAAATTGTTTTAAATTTATATAAAACAATTACAGGTGACGGGACATGTAATTGACGGGAAATGCTACTACTACTACAAATAGGTTGGGAAATGTAATCTGCAAATCGCATAAGTCCTTGCCTCAAGCAGATATTTGGTAATTGTTTGGGTGTCACAGAATATGGCCCAGCTAGATGGCCCCGGGCCGACGCGAGGTTACTTATCCGAGATTAAATTAAGAGAAAAATAAATAACCTTTTTTCCTCGGATCTGCAAGATTTGTAAGTTGAGGTCTGGTAATAACAGGGTTACCGGAAAATAAGTTTTCAAAGGAGTAATTCCAGTCTAATACCTCGCAAAGGGCACCCGGCCACGACTTGGTGAAATTTTCAGAAAGTGGTTTTCTCTTACTGTTGAAAAGTTTTCGTATTGAGAATTGACGACAGTAAGTCTGTAGAATTATGTAGAATACTTATTAACATACCTCTCCCATCTCTAGAATTATGTAGAATACTGTGGTAACATACCTCTCTCATCTCTCAAGTTACAGTCCACCTTCTCTTTTAGCTGTGTACACAATGTTAATGTTATTACAGCTGAGACCTGAGTAAACACCGTCATAGCTCTAGAAGCAGCCCTAACACAGTACACAAATTCCACAGATTCCACATCTACACTCAGCACACCCCAACAGTAACAATACACACTGCGGCATACAGAGCTATAAAGTGTAATTATTCGACCGCAATATAACTATTCCGAGTATACCGCAATATTCATTGTTCCTAACTCAAGAAAAAGTATGGTTTTAAACTATTTTCAGAACTTCAATTAAATACATTTATTGAGGACGTTGCAGAAGGAGTTGTTTAAATGTAGTACGAGGAGTCATAATCCTCCTGGCGTTCTAAGATAGCGCTTCTCTTGTCTCATTATATAGTTAAGATCAAGGCCCCCAAAAAGGACCTTAATTACAACTTCATTAGCTATATAATAAGGTCTGGGCTCGAAACAAAACCCCTTGATTTCACGTACCTCAATTTCGAACGCCTTAATTATATGCAACTATAATTTCCTGTAGTAATTTATTACCAGTGAACAGCTGTGGAGTGAGAGATGCTAGTAGAGAGATGTGAGTAGACATTAACACTAATAATATAGGATGAAATAAAACTTTCCGGAGTTGCACACCTCATCGCAAAACACGCATAATGACTAAATATAATATTATGTGCTATTAGAGGAGATAATTACATAACATTAACAACATAGATAATCAGATTGGTAGTCCCGTATCAGAGATAAGAACTCTTCTGATTGGACGATAGCAGGGTCACGTCGTAGGATTACTGGTCACGTGGTAAGATTAAGAGGTTGCTATTGAACAGTTGGGTGCGCCTATGCACATAATATGTTAAGATTGAGTTAACAATTCTTTCACTATTGCTGAGTAAATATGATAAAGATTATACGATCACTATAAGATTGTAGTAAAGAATTCTGATATCTCATTGGAATATCCACGTAGCTAAAGACACATTATTATAACTTAATCGTTGAAAAATACAGATCATTTCAGACTGCTGACTTCAACTCCCTCAATCAGTGGGTATTCAACCTGGTATTCTGGTAGTTGCCTCCAACGTATTATTATCATTAAACTTACATAACATAACCATTATGAAGTGTATCTAATTCTAAATAGCAACTAAAATGCAGTCTCTGTTACTAACCATAATACATAATATACCATTAGTACCGTTATATACATTTTTCTATCTTGGACCTCAGCCATAAATAATGTCAATTTCCGACTACAATATTTAATTTTTGGGAAGGGATGCTTAACTATTAACCGTATTTAAAAAAAAATCAATTCAACTATATTTCTGACAAAATGTAGTTAAAAATAACCGTAAAGTTTAATTTTGTCAAAAACTTGTAAAATGGAAGAAAGTCACGCTTTATGCGGTACACCCAGTACCTCCTTCCAAAAAGTGTACCTCTGCACCTTTCTTCTAAGAGACGCGCATCAATGACAAATCAATACCACGTACCTGGTACCATCAGGCTTGTTCTCTCACACTCCCAGTCTATAGATCCCAGGGACAAAAGGAAATCGCGGCATGTACGGAATCGCGATTTTTCCCATTATTTGCGACAAATTTTATGTATAGTTTAATGTACAATAGTCTGTTAAAAATCGCGGTATCGCGATTTTTGGCCAAAATGATCGAGAAATCCTTTTGTCCCTGATAGATCCCAGGTGCCGGTTTCAAATTCTACAACTATCGTTTACATTATATTTTAATATAAGATCACAGTAAAACCACAGCTCGCAGATTGATACATGCTACTTTCTGATATAGTAAGCTGTGCCAGATTCCAGAGACGGATGACTTGGCTAAATAACTCTGCTGGGGTTGCCAAGCAACTTGATGAAAACACGTTAAGAGGCGACATCCACATACAGAGAGTGTACATTCTACTGTAAACAACCGGCTCCTATATTTAATTATCCACCACATAGAACTTCATATTATATATGCAGCATTATTACTTACAGTACTTTACTTACAGCATCATTACTTACAGTACTGTTCCAAACCCGGAATATAGCATCATGGTACATTGACCAATAGTAAAACTGCCTTAATCTCATTCCTGTGCATTGCACACCGTTTTCTTTATTGCACAGTGTGCAATAGAGAAAACGGTGTCTTGAATCACATTGAAATGTTCCTTTGAGCAGAGAGAACAAGGTATGAATAGACTTCAGGACTACCTACTAGAGCGATCAACTGAAATATTTGAGGAGATGAGAATAATCTTGTGTTTGATAGGCCCCTGGGTCCTGGCACTGCTAGGCTGCAGGATTACAGTGATGACCCCAACTTATCACCCTCCTCTGGTAGGTCACATAGGTAGGTCACATTGTCTCAATTTAAGTAATACTCTAATTTAAACCGTCTGAAATATATCAAATATAACCATGAGTAGGGTGTGATTATACTAAAAAAGAGGACAAATCAGTATACTTACATCATATTTAAGAATATTATACAGCTCTACGGTCTATAGTACTCACACTACATCTCACTGAGTGAGGATCTAGTACTCATACTACATCTCACTGAGTGAGGATCTAGTACTCACACTACATCTCACTGAATGAGGATCTAGTACTCACACTAAATCTCACTGAGTGAGGATATAGTACTCATACTACATCTCACTGAGTGAGGATCTAGTACTCACACTACATCTCACTGAATGAGGATCTAGTACTCACACTAAATCTCACTGAATGAGGATCTAGTACTCACACTAAATCTCACTGAATGAGGATCTAGTACTCACACTAAATCTCACTGAATGAGGATCTAGTACTCACACTAAATCTCACTGAGTGAGGATCTAGTACTCACACTAAATCTCACTGAGTGAGGATATAGTACTCATACTACATCTCACTGAGTGAGGATCTAGTACTCACACTACATCTCACTGAATGAGGATCTAGTACTCACACTAAATCTCACTGAGTGAGGATATAGTACTCACACTAAATCTCACTGAGTGAGGATCTAGTACTCACACTACATCTCACTGAATGAGGATCTAGTACTCACACTAAATCTCACTGAATGAGGATCTAGTACTCACACTAAATCTCACTGAGTGAGGATATAGTACTCATACTACATCTCACTGAGTGAGGATCTAGTACTCACACTACATCTCACTGAATGAGGATCTAGTACTCACACTACATCTCACTGAGTGAGGATCTAGTACTCACACTACATCTCACTGAGTGAGGATCTAGTACCTACTCACACTACATCCCACTGAGTGAGGATCTAGTACTCACACTACATCTCACTGAGTGAGGATCTAGTACCTACTCACACTACATCCCACTGAGTGAGGATCTAGTACTCACACTACATCCCACTGAGTGAGGATCTAGTACTCACACTGCATCCCACTGAGTGAGGATCTAGTACTCACACTACATCTCACTGAGTGAGGATCTAGTACTCACACTAAATCTCACTGAGTGAGGATCTAGTACTCACACTAAATCTCACTGAGTGAGGATATAGTACTCATACTACATCTCACTGAGTGAGGATCTAGTACTCACACTACATCTCACTGAATGAGGATCTAGTACTCACACTAAATCTCACTGAGTGAGGATATAGTACTCACACTAAATCTCACTGAGTGAGGATCTAGTACTCACACTACATCTCACTGAATGAGGATCTAGTACTCACACTAAATCTCACTGAATGAGGATCTAGTACTCACACTAAATCTCACTGAGTGAGGATATAGTACTCACACTAAATCTCACTGAGTGAGGATCTAGAACTCACACTATAGGCCGCTCAGTAGTCAGTGGGGACTAGTAGATTAAAACATCTCTGAGTAATCTACCTTTACTTGGCATCTTTCTCAAAATTGACCTATTAAAATCCTCGATTTCATAACATCTCGATACAGTTGTAAGGGATATTGCAGGTGTTAACTTGGCCATAACACTGTCCGCCCAGCACCTTCTGGGCAGGACTGTTCTTGAGAACAGTCCCCCGGGACACAATACCTATTAATATCGGAGACATGTTTGGCACAGAGCCAAGTATTCTGCTGCCACAATATGAGGTGGCATGTTGAACGTCGTCAACCTCTCATCCTCCTCTGGTGTTCCAACATTGTTACACATCGGTCCAGTACCCCTTTGGAGCTTTAGAATGAGTCGGTTATTTGAGTCTGGTTAAGAATAGTGCTACTGTCTGCGTACAACATAACATTCAGCAACATACCGAACAGTTTAACAACATTGTTAACCAGTGAGACTGTGTAACAATGTTGTGAAGATTCTAGAATTTCTGGTAATGGATAAAAGTGGGGTAGGTAAAGTCGTGTTTTACACAATGATTAAACCGTCACATCTGGTGTCCAGGACAAAGCGGTTGAGGCTGGATTAGTAAATACTGCGATTATATTTGGGGACTGGTATGTCAGGAACGTCGTGTTACTACCTCTACAATATAATGTGGTCACACCCAGCCGTGAGTATAATGTCCTCAAAGAATTACAAGATCTGATAACCACATCCTCGGAAAGCTAGGTTGTTCTAGATTGTTCCAGTAATCCATCATGTTATAACTCACAACTGAAACTTTTAGACCAGTTTCCACGGACAGGAAGGTTTGATTAGGTGTCAAGTATTCTACATTGTTTAAAGTGTTTGCACCAGAGACCCAAAGTAGATCCTCATTATCATGGACATCTATTAATTAATAACACTCTCGTACTTTAGGTATAGTTGCCGCACTGTAGTTTGAATATTAATGCACTTAGAGGGACCCTGTGGAGAATATCTCTATTGTAGATATTATCATATCATATGTAGGTAGGTTCCCGTCTGGGATTCTCTTTATTAATAAACCCTCAATTAAAGGTGTAATCATTTACTAACTATAATTAGTATAGCAGCTATTGTAGTATTAGAGGATACTAGAGGTACTGAGGTAGACATTCAGACATTGGCCGAAATCAAGTTGCTGAATACACAATGTCCAGTTCATATATTTGATCTTTCCAATTTGTTCAAGATATTTTTAATGTAAGAGGGCCCATTTAAAGGTTACATAATTGTAAGCACACGTGTAATATTTTACATTATTGTCATAATAACTAACTCTCCTCACGTCCGAAAATTCAAAATGGCGTTTCTCTATTATCAAATATGCATAATTTGCATATTCACCATGATTTTCAAATATATAGTGATTTATCTTTGCAATTACATCATATAAAATGATTTAATAATCACGATAAAGACTGCATTGCGTACCTCCGAATGATCTACAATGACACTAAACATTATTCAAATAACGCACAAGTAATGGGAAATTTAAGAAAGCTGGGCCAGGGTTGGGCTGGGATTTCTCCGATATCTCGGCGAACTAATGAGGAAGAAAAGTCGAAAAAATTGAGACAATCTTACATTATTTTTTTGCTCATGTAAATGGAATGGCGATGATCCCAACCTTCTCCCCTGTCCTCTATCAATATTATACCTCGAAACTCCAATCTGTTGGATTAGTGAAGCGAACATTAAGATCGTCATTCTACATGGACTAAGCAAACCTACAGGACTAAGCACATCTCAAACATATTATATTAATACATTAACATTGAATATTATGTGGAAATAAAATTACTCCGCACGAAGTTGATGATTACATAGGTTTACATTCTACAATCTACACAGGGGATGAATGTTGGAGTTAAGGTGCAGCAGGATTAAGGGAATGATAACTCGGTGAGATTAGTTACACGCAATCTACACACACTAGTATACTTGGTAACCACACAGAATGTGAATTTATAACTCCCAATCTGATACCAACCCAATTTAACAAATTCTCCTCTCATATGAGGAGAATATGACTTTTAAATCTGTATCCAACATTTTAAATTTAAAAACGTTCTACGACTCTACGAGTCGATATCGGAACATTTTTCGATACAGTCCCTAGTTTTGTTTTGCATGGCCACATTAAGAACGATCACCACAAGCCTTACATTCAGTCACCAACAACATTCCACAAATACAGAATTTGAGCTAGGTCCAAGTCCGACTTATTGGCACCTCGCCAAGTCCGGCTTATTGGCACCTCGCCAAGTCCGGCTTATTGGCACCTCGCCAAGTCGGTGTGGCATATAATACAATTACAAATGAGACAGTTGCTGGGGTGACTGCCACTTACAGACAATAAAATGTGTCATGAAGTATGTGATGACGTAACGTACGCGTTTCAGTGTGACTGGTATTGGTTGACAGGGTGGTTATTCTTCAGGGGATAGAGAGATGGTTCGAGAACATGGTTCTGGTAAATCAGGAGATTGTCCACGAAGAATGTGACCAGTGATTGGTGATATGAAGCTTATTGTATTACTCTATTGTTCATCGTAGACATGTCCCAATTTTACATGAATGGTATTGCTATCTTATTACAGCCAAACCTTCCGTTATCAGTTATGTAGGGTAACACATAACATACCCGACAAAAAGGAAGAGAGGTTAAATAAAGGTTAGTCGTACATCACATTTAAAAACACTTTCAAAACACTAATCTTAAATTAACTTACCCATATAAGTTTTTGAACCAGGGTATACCCAACATGGCATCTATCCTTTGGAATGCTGCTTCGTTTGGCATGGAACTTATCACCTGACCTGTAACGGATGGTAATTAATATTAATTAGTAATAATTAACATGGTAATTATATCAGTATTTCAGTATGATAATTTCTTATCACGTAGTTAAAATCTTACTTGGTGAATTATTGATTGAAAAAATTCCATTCGAACAAAGTTGATTGGGGAAAATAACATTCTCTAAATTACATCGTACTTGTCACACTCTATTTTACTTATTGCATAGAATAAAAATATTAATTGAACCAATTGCAGTGTTGAACGTGACCGAAAACATATCTGAAACAAATTATAAAGCTCAAACAAAGGCGGAGTTCTAAGAGAATGTAATCAAGATTATTTGGACCTTTACTGATAGTTGAAATTCGACATATGACGTCATCTAGCGTCATCTAGCGTCATCTAGCGTGAAATATCGCCAGATGATGATAGATGACGCTAGATGACGCTAGATGACGCTAGATGACGCCAATTAGCGACATTGTCGCTAAGTGCACGGCACCTTTCGAATGTCGCTATCTAGCGCTATCTAGCGCTATCTAGCGCTATCTAGCGCTATCTAGCGCTATCTAGCGCTATCTAGCGCTATATGACGCTATATGACGCTATATGACGCTAGATGACGCTAGATGACGCTAGATGACGCTAAGCACGCAGCACTGACGCCAGGCGACAGATAGCGCTATTTTCATAAAAATTCTAGGGACGACATCTAGCGTCATCTAGCGTTATATGTTGCCGCGACATCTGACGCTATCTGACGCTATCTGACGCCATCTAGCGACATCTGACGACATCTGACGCGACGACATCTGACGCAGGCGACATCAAGCGCTGGATAGCGGGATAGGTCAGTTTACGACAGTTCACGCTATCTAGCGCTATATAGCGCCAGATAGCGCTATATAGCGTCAGATGTTGTTGCGACATATAGCGCTAGATAGCGCTATTTGGCGTCATCTAGCGTCATCTAGCGTTATATGTTGCCGCGACATCTGACGCTATCTGACGCTATCTGACGCCATCTAGCGACATCTGACGACATCTGACGCGACGACATCTGACGCAGGCGACATCAAGCGCTGGATAGCGGGATAGGTCAGTTTACGACAGTTCACGCTATCTAGCGCTATATAGCGCCAGATAGCGCTATATAGCGTCAGATGTTGTTGCGACATATAGCGCTAGATAGCGCTATCTGGCGTTAGATAGCGCTAAATAGCGTTAGATAGCGCTAAATAGCGAAGAATTTCGGGTCGTGTCAGTCCAGGCTATTTAGCGCTAGATGTCGCTATCTAGCGCTATATGTTGCTGCGTCAGATGTCGTTGCGTCATATAGCGCTAGATATCATATCCTATCACAGTAACAGTAACCCTAACCCTGTGTGTGTGTGTGTGTGTGTGTGTGTGTGTGGGTGTGTGTGTGTGTGTGTGTGTGTGTGTGTGTGTGTGTGTGTGTGTGTGTGTGTGTGCAGCCTGTCTTTCCCCACCCAATCTTTTTTGTTATTTTTATTTTGTATAAAAATTAATTTTTACTGTGTATGAAAATTAATTATAATTTAAGTGAGAATGATATAACTATAAGCTTGCGCGCGCGTCGAAGTCACCCAACTATTACACTCGATTTATTAAATATTCGGCTGAGTGGAACAAAATATTAAATATCGCTTAATCAAGGGGTCGTTTACATATTATAATTATATAAGGGGCCTGATGCCGCCGGCCGGGGTTTTTCAAATTATTACGCTTACTAGTGTGATTGTGACATAATACTGATAGCTTAATAGCTAGCTATGTATGGAATTGGAGGACTTCGCCGCTTCGACACGCCGCGCAAACTAGCATTTTTGCTTCGCATCGAATCGATCGTCGTCGATCGATCGTCGTCGATGGAGCAACGATCTCGATGGATTGTCATCGTCAATCAATGTATGGAACTGATTACTAACAATGAGGGGTCGTTCACATACTCCGTAATCAGTTTTACCATAGCTATTATGTCAATATTACACTAGCGTAATCAATAATCATTTGGAAACCCCAACCTCCTCAGCTGATTACGTTATATGTAAACGACCGTCGACCCTTAACATTTCGGGATCGGAATTAACGGGTGATACTCGTAAAATCTCTGTTCCATATATTAGGACCGTCGACGAGTCCAACTCGGCGCGCGTCCTGGTAGGTTGTAAACCTACAAGATCGGAAAAAAGCGGCACGTACTAGATTTCGACGAAATTTATACAAGTAACTAACATCGTTGATTCATGATGCCAATCTTTCACAGCTCAGTGGTGCATCTCGCCGAAAAGCATTATTAGATGCCGAGAAGCATTTTAGTGAAAGCAAAGCACCGTGAATTGTAATTAAATTTTAAAATATTTGGTTTTTATACTGATTGAAAATAAAAACGACGTAAGTATTTAGTTTTCCAATTTTCTGGACCGGTTTACAGTTGGTGCGCGGCACTAAAAATTAAAGGGCTTCGCCGCGTAAAATATCCACCGCCAAGCAATGATCTGGAAATAGGTAGTGCGCCATCGACAGTGAGCCGCGCGTGCCGACTGTAGGATTTTTACAAAATTTGATGACATTACTGATCTAAGGCTTACAAGCTGAATTTGTCCGAAAATTTTAGAGCATATCCAATTATGCTCAACGCAACATCGTTTGCCCAATTTTCATTTCTATATTTGAAGGACTTCGACGCGCCGCGCGAATTGTCATTTTTGCTGCGCTTCGAATCGAGCAACGATCGTTGCTCTGCTTCGCAGAGCACCGAACTTGATGGGTTGACATCGTTTTGCTCTATCCAGAGCCCTTGCGCTTGCAGTAGCGCGCGCCAGCCTTACGGCGGTAAAAAGGGCTCTAGCCAGCAACCCACCCAACGATTTTGGCACCACTCATATAGGGTGCCAAAATTTCCCGCGCTTTTGTCCTCATATGCAACGTGTGTAGCCTTTCAGACATTGATTGCGTAAACGAGGTGTCATACGTCACCTCAAGATCGGGTGACAGGGGCTGACCATGCCCGAACCTGATTAATCATTGATTGGGTCTGAGGTCACGTAATTATGAGCCTATGATGTATGAGCTGTCACGTGACTATGACGTCACCAGACCTTGTAGTCCGTTTCCCGCTCATTGGACCAGGTGAGCTTGCATGCTTGTGAATGTAAATGTAAGTACAGCTGTACTGTAGTTTATACCTAATTAACCCCTATACACTGTCACTATGCAATATAGGAACCTGAAAAGTGGTTACTGCATACTGGAGGGAGAAGTGCCAAGACTACATGCGCTACATAGACGCTGTTGTCAGCACTGCGCGCGCGCGCACGAACCTTCACATTAGGGTTCGTGGACTTGAACTCTGAAACAAGCGCGCCCGAAGTGGCGCGAAAGCAAGCACATGGTTAGGTGAAACATCGTCAATATCAATTATTATATCAACTCCAAAATCCACTAAATTTTCGGACAGTTGTGAAAGCCCTATTGGAAGGTTTTTTGATTCACAAATTTTCAGAATGATCTCATTCAAGGAACCAAAAATATATCCGAATAATACGTCAAAAATCCTCGAATTTCGATAAAGTACGCAAGTTTTAGATTAACTTTTGCTCCCGCAAAGCCACGCATCACCAATTTTGGCACCTATGCGAAAGTCACTGATGATTCCAAAAACGTATGACAAAAATTTATATTGTAAAAAGGCTCACACTCTCCAAAAAATGTGAACAAAAATTTTGAAAATCCGAGCAACTTTATTTTTATCGTGCATCTCCAACTGGAAAGACGAAAGGTATAAGGTATGACTATGACATCGTCAACATTCGCCAAACCATCAAAACATTGATTTTCTATCACGCGCCGCTTTTTCTCAAACTATTAGTCCAAGCCAAGAAGTACGAAGTAGCGCACGTCGCTTCGGGCTAGTCCATTAACAATGATCAAATAATTTACTTGTTCGTACAAAATTTAGCACATATTATACGTTACTAAATTGCAAGTTATTCTGCAAATTAAGCTATAAGCGTTACTGTGCCGCGCCGCGCATCCAATTATGCTTCTCGCTAGATCTGCGAAATGCGCTTCTGTGCCTCGCCGAGCTGCGATGAATTGACATCGTCAATTAAGGCTAGATAACTTTGATAGCTTTGGGGTGAGGGTTTGGATTCACATGTGACATGATAGCCATGTGTCTACGCGTACTGCGTGGACTGTCGCAAACCGACATTCTTCATTAGCTAGCGCTAGTTTACGCTACCCAGGAAAAGTTACCGGCTGGTGGTGGTACTAGAGTTGGTTTAATTTAAACAGACGGCCCGACCTCGCGCGCGACATGAAGCATGATTTGCACGCGTGGCGTATTCCAATGTTCAAGCAGCTACCACGTGACAAAATTCAGCCAACCAGAGTACAGGAATCCGCAAAGTTAAAGTTACCAACTTTTGAGCGGCCCGAAATGGGACTTTTCTGGAGATTTTGAGATAACTCAACAATTACGTTGTCTTGAATTTTCCTCCTGGGGAGGTAACGTTACTTTTAAAAGAGGAACATGTTACAAAAAACCGGAAGTCTCTAACTCTTTTACTTTCAAAGTTAAGCCCCATCCGGTCAGGGTTTCTGGGTAGATAGCGCTAGATGGCGCCGCGCTATCTAGCGCTAGCTGTCGCCACGCTAGATAGCGCTAGATAGCGCTATCTAGCGTGGACTGTCGCAAACCGAAATTCTTCATTAGCTAGCGCTAGTTTACGCTAGATAGCGCTAGATGACGCCGCGCTATCTAGCGCTAGCTGTCGCCACGATATCTAGCGCTAGATAGCGCTATCTAGCGTAAACTGTCACAGACCGACATTCTCCGCTAGATAGCGCTAGATAGCGCTAGATAGCGCTAGATAGCGCTGCGTCAGATGTCGTTGCGACATATAGCGTTAGATAGCGCTAGATAGCGCTAGATGTCGCAAAAAAAAAGGCGGAAATTTTATGAAAATAGCGCTATCTGTCGCCTGGCGTCAGTGCTGCGTGCTTAGCGTCATCTAGCGTCATCTAGCGTCATATAGCGTCATGTAGCGTCATATAGCGTCATATAGCGCTAGATAGCGCTAGATAGCGCTAGATAGCGCTAGATAGCGCTAGATAGCGACATTCGAAAGGTGCCGTGCACTTAGCGACAATGTCGCTAATTGGCGTCATCTAGCGTCATCTAGCGTCATCTAGTGTCATCTAGCGTCATCTATCATCATCTGGCGATATTTCACGCTAGATGACGCTAGATGACGCTAGATGACGTCATATGTCGAATTTCAACTATCAGTAAAGGTCCGATTATTTGTCATATTCATGCACGAATTAAACGCGCATCTATGTAACTATAGGGACAAACCTGTAGTTTCATCATAAACTGCTGAGTCGTTAAACCAGGGCGGAGCAGTTGGGAATAAGAACTGTATGAGAACTGAAATAAAGTACATTTTAAGTTATTTAATAGTTCACTAGTCAGCTAGCAACAGTGATGATAAACTTAGATTAATAAGTCTTGAACTTAATGAGTTGAGTTACTTTCATTACGTGAGTTGATACTAGGCCAATGCTGTCTGGTTAGTTCACGTAATTAGTGATAAATCGCAAGGGAATTCAACCATGCAACATGATCCGATTATACATAATTTATTACATGGGCACATATTAGGTGCGATGGGTGCGGGATCGCACAATTTACCGTTTTCCGCACATTTTCGCACATTTTGTAATTATCTGCATATTTCCGCATAATCTAGCATTTTCCGCGTAATTTCGCATAATTTTAAAATTTTCGCGTTAAGATTTTCGAGTGTAAAAACCAAAATATGTTAAAAGTCGGGCCCTTTTAGGACCGTGACTCAGGCCCTTTCGGGACCCTGACCCAGGCCCTTTCGGGACCGTGACCCAGGCCCTTTTGGAACTCATATTTAGGCAACGTGACCCAGTTACCACGTGACTCAGGCCCTTTCGGGACCCTGACCCAGGCCCTTTCGGGACCGTGACCCAGGCCCTTTTGGAACTCATGCTTAGGTCACGTGACCCGGTTACCACGTGACCGAGGCCCTTTCGGGACCCTGACCCAGGCCCTTTCGGGACCGTGACCCAGGCCCTTTCGGGACCCTGACCCAGGCCCTTTCGGGACCCTGACCCAGGCCCTTTCGGGACCGTGACCCAGGCCCTTTTGGAACTCATGCTTAGGCCACGTGACTCAGGCCCTTTCGGGACCGTGACCCAGGGCCTTTCGGGACCGTTACCCAGGCCCTTTCGGGACCGTGATCCATGAGGCCTTTTCGGGACCGTGACCCAGGCCATTATGGAACCCTCGTCGTTACTGTACTTCGATTATAGTGTATCAGTTATCATTCGTAGGTGATAATAGAAGAAGTAGGTGTAAAGGGTAATGAGCTTTATTCGTTGTAGCGTTGGCTTTATAGTGGGCTTAATGGATCTTGGATTAAATGGTTCACAAGTACTGACGATCAATGCCAACTTGAAGCGTGTCACATATTTGCGATCACGCATGGGATCTGATCGACTCTATCAAGAGGCGTCTTCAAATAACTGTATCCTGATTCCTGATCTCTACCAGATCAAGTCACTGTTCTCAGATAACTGAATCTCGATATAGGTTCAATCATGGTCTTAGTAAAGAACTACACCCTCAGTAACACATAAACAGACCTATTTTTGATAATAGCGGCGGTTATACGTTTAGAATTTCCAAAGTCCTTGAGAAAATGCAAAAAAAAACCGCACAATTCCCGCACAAATTTCGAAAAAATCGCCGCACATTTGCCGCATAATTGGTAAAAAATTACCGCACCTTACCGCACATTTTACCTTTATAGTCGGGTGCGGTACCGCATAATTTCGATTTTTTTACCGCACCTAATATGTGCCTCTGTAATTTAATCACACACAAAAAGAGGAAGTCTCGAGGTTAAACTGAAACACTCTTAATTACCAACCACTTCCGACCTTGTCTAATATTAGAGGATAGGAGGACTGCTCAAGAGACCTTGTCTAATATTAGAGGATAGGAGGACTGCTCAAGAGACCTTGTCTAATATTAGAGGATAGGAGGACTGCTCAAGAGACCTTGTCTAATATTAGAGGATAGGAGGACTGTTCAAGAGACCTTGTCTAATATTAGAGGATAGGAGGACTGTTCAAGAGACCTTGTCTAATATTAGAGGATAGGAGGACTGCTCAAGAGACCTTGTCTAATATTAGAGGATAGGAGGACTGTTCAAGAAACCTTGTCTAATATTAGAGGATAGGAGGACTGCTCAAGAGACCTTGTCTAATATTAGAGGATAGGGGGACTGCTCAAGAGACCTTGTCTAATATTAGAGGATAGGAGGACTGCTCAAGAGACCTTGTCTAATATTAGAGGATAGGAGGACTGCTCAAGAGACCTTGTCTAATATTAGAGGATAGGAGGACTGCTCAAGAGACCTTGTCTAATATTAGAGGATAGGAGGACTGCTCAAGAGACCTTGTCTAATATTAGAGGATAGGAGGACTGCTCAAGAGACCTTGTCTAATATTAGAGGATAGGAGGACTGCTCAAGAGACCTTGTCTAATATTAGAGGATAGGAGGACTGTTCAAGAGACCTTGTCTAATATTAGAGGATAGGAGGACTGTTCAAGAGATTGAGATTAATACGGAGCTGAGTAGTGAATATACGAGTTTGTGTGTAAGTGATACAGACTTAGTATTATATTGATAGTTTTTATGGTTCTTTAACAGAATTTAATGCACGTTTAATAGACAATTAATCATTAATGCCTTTAATGTTAATGGTTAACATTAATCCAAGAGTTTAATTCGGATTTTTAATTAGATTTGAGTAACCTAAAATAATATATTTTCTCACAATCAATTGACAGTAAACACTTAACATTACACACACAGCCCAGTGAGCCGCAATTCAACCTGACACAGGAGCTGAACTCGCTTATTTCCCGTTATTTGACCCCCAAAAGAAAATAAAACTGGGACTTTTCGTGAGAAAATAATTATCTCACGAAAATTAAAATGTCATTTCCTGATAAGAACACTTCTTGCAAACAATTTGAACACCTTATAAAATGTTGAGACAGTAGTCCCCGCGGTATATACACAGGATGACGTGATGACGTCACGTGATGACGTCACATGACTTCCTGATATTTGACTCTCACTATTACAACGTGTCTCACGTAATACCGTTGGTGTAAACATTGGAGCTTATTACCTCCACTGTTTAAATTATATTGGGCTGTACATTTTACAATCTACCTGATATCCTCCCTCAACCCTCAGCCCCACACCTGATATCCTCCCTCAACCCTCAGCCCCACACCTGATATCTTCCCTCAACCCTCAGCCCCGCACCTGATATCCTCCCTCAACCCTCAGCCCCACACCTGATATCCTCCCTCAACCCTCAGCCCCACACCTGATATCTTCCCTCAACCCTCAGCCCCGCGCCTGATATCCTCCCTCAACCCTCAGCCCCGCACCTGATATCCTCCCTCAACCCTCAGCCCCGCACCTGATATCCTCCCTCAACCCTCAGCCCCACACCTGATATCCTCCCTCAACCCTCAGCCCCGCACCTGATATCCTCCCTCAACCCTCAGCCCCGCACCTGATATCCTCCCTCAACCCTCAGCCCCACACCTGATATCCTCCCTCAACCCTCAGCCCCACACCTGATATCCTCCCTCAACCCTCAGCCCCACACCTGATATCCTCCCTCAACCCTCAGCCCCGCACCTGATATCCTCCCTCAACCCTCAGCCCCACACCTGATATCCTCCCTCAACCCTCAGCCCCACACCTGATATCCTCCCTCAACCCTCAGCCCCACACCTGATATCCTCCCTCAACCCTCAGCCCCACACCTGATATCCTCCTTTAACCCTCAGCCCCGCACCTGATATCTTCCCTCAACCCTCAGCCCCACACCTGATATCTTCCCTCAACCCTCAGCCCCACACCTGATATCCTCCCTCAACCCTCAGCCCCACACCTGATATCCTCCCTCAACCCTCAGCCCCACACCTGATATCCTCCCTCAACCCTCAGCCCCACACCTGATATCCTCCCTCAACCCTCAGCCCCACACCTGATATCCTCCCTCAACCCTCAGCCCCACACCTGATATCCTCCCTCAACCCTCAGCCCCGCACCTGATATCCTCCCTCAACCCTCAGCCCCACACCTGATATCCTCCCTCAACCCTCAGCCCCACACCTGATATCCTCCCTCAACCCTCAGCCCCACACCTGATATCCTCCCTCAACCCTCAGCCCCGCACCTGATATCCTCCCTCAACCCTCAGCCCCACACCTGATATCCTCCCTCAACCCTCAGCCCCACACCTGATATCCTCCCTCAACCCTCAGCCCCACACCTGATATCCTCCCTCAACCCTCAGCCCCGCACCTGATATCCTCCCTCAGCCCCACACCTGATATCCTCCCTCAACCCTCAGCCCCACACCTGATATCCTCCCTCAACCCTCAGCCCCACACCTGATATCCTCCCTCAACCCTCAGCCCCACACCTGATATCCTCCCTCAACCCTCAGCCCCGCACCTGATATCCTCCCTCAACCCTCAGCCCCACACCTGATATCCTCCCTCAACCCTCAGCCCCACACCTGATATCCTCCCTCAACCCTCAGCCCCACACCTGATATCCTCCCTCAACCCTCAGCCCCACACCTGATATCCTCCCTCAACCCTCAGCCCCACACCTGATATCCTCCCTCAACCCTCAGCCCCACACCTGATATCCTCCCTCAACCCTCAGCCCCGCACCTGATATCCTCCCTCAACCCTCAGCCCCACACCTGATATCCTCCTTCAACCCTCAGCCCCACACCTGATATCCTCCCTCAACCCTCAGCCCCACACCTGATATCCTCCCTCAACCCTCAGCCCCACACCTGATATCCTCCCTCAACCCTCAGCCCCGCACCTGATATCCTCCCTCAACCCTCAGCCCCACACCTGATATCCTCCCTCAACCCTCAGCCCCACACCTGATATCCTCCCTCAACCCTCAGCCCCACACCTGATATCTTCCCTCAACCCTCAGCCCCACACCTGATATCCTCCCTCAACCCTCAGCCCCGCACTTGATATCCTCCACGATTTTAAAGTCACTAAGTATATCCTCCCTCAACCCTCAGCCCCACACCTGATATCCTCCCTCAACCCTCAGCCCCGCACCTGATATCCTCCCTCAACCCTCAGCCCCGCACTTGATATCCTCCACGATTTTAAAGTCACTAAGTAAACAGTTCCGTAATCTGACTACTATCCTCAATAACATTAGTACATAGTAAACGGTACTGCACTTAACACTAGTGCCGTGTTTTATAGTAACATTATCTAAACAGCATTTAACTAGAGCTTTACTCCCGGTACACCAGCAGGCACGAGCGTGAGAGCTCACAGCATTGTTAGTGACGTAATTAAATAGCTCAACAAATTATTTTTGGCCTTTTAGACCTTCCTGCAGGAATGACCTTGAGTTAGCTATAAAAAGCTAGCTTGTGGTCTGATTGTTTGGTCTAGAAGTTAACAGATTATAAATCAAGAGGCTTGCATATAATGAACATATTGACATGGGTGCAGAGTTGAGTCTGTACGGAACCTAGTAGTTTCAGTTCCTTGTTTAACTTGCCGTACAGCAAGGACATCCACTACCTTAGCCCGGCGAGGCACATAACTCACTCTACAACTCCATGTCAAATGTTTCATATATACTATTATATATATCTTTCCTTTAAGTTTAAATGTTTAATGAATCCACTCGTTCCGCTCATGTACATGTATGTGTTAAATAGACAACATGCCCGACGGTGTACAACACGTACATAAAACGCACATTTTAATTGAAAAATTAAATTTTGTTCTGTCAAGATAGTGCCGTACCACCTACGACGATTTGAAAAATTCATTAAATATCCTTGCCGTGTAAAAATGTTAAATAGCAAATGATTTTAATTACAGAATTACAGTAATGGCATTAATTTCGTCACGATTAACCTATTTCCGGGTAGACAGCATTTAAGTAGCTTTAAACACAGAACTACTCGAATATATTTGGCACATTAAATGAAGCTATGAATAATTGAATAAGTAACAATTTATATATTCCTGTAGGTAATATCAGCCCCCATATACCAGGCCTCTCTATAATTGTCATACGTCATGACGTATGTTTTGGAAGTGTCGATAAGATGCATAACTCCCTTGCCATCAGGTTAAAGAGATAATCTAGCCCGTTGCGCACCTTCCAAACTTTGATTAATGACCGGCGAGATAATCATAGATTCTTCCAAAACAGGTATCATAGTGTCACTATACCGGGTAGCTCGAAATACCGATTACCCTTCTTTTTCTCAAAATTTAAGTTAATAAGCTGATTTTGTGCTAGAAATGTGATTTATCATAAGTCATATCGCATTCGGTGGTGATTTGAGTACCCACTCCATCACAATACGACATAATACGTGCATATAATGCCAAAATTTGACGCTTCACAAAACCCGGTATAGAGACTGTGTAACATTTTTATGTTACATATTTTGACAGAGTTTAAATGGTATTATCTGGTCTTGCATATCTTGTAAATGTATCGCATCATATTCTCATTCTTAAAACATGTCGGAAGCCACAATAAAGATAACCTATTTTCCTGTGTAAATAGGAATAGAAGCCAAACATTATTTCTGTATCATTGACTACTTAGAGAAGGTAAAAAGCAATAACTGACGCTAAAGTCGCTACATTTACTTTTGTAACGAGGAATTTTAGATGGCAACTGTAGAAAACCATTCATTCTCTGAAAAAGCAGCTTTTACAAATGAAATTAGCAGAACATTAGGTTATGACATCATCAGCTGTAGTCTCAAGTCTGTAGTTAAACTATTCACAGTGTTAAAACATCACGTAATGATTTCAATCTTAGTTAAGTTACGACAGTAAGTATTGACAATCCTGTTTGAGCCCACTGCACCGGGGATTTTGCTTACCTATTTGATACCTAGATTTAAATAAAATGTATTATATCAAAAAATTTAACAGTAGCTAATTTTTAGGGCATCAAGGAAGATGGTAGCTCCCATCTAGCGATGTACACTCTCAGTTTAATAGTTCACACATAGTTCCCACATAGGTCACACAGAGTTCACACATAGTTCACACTGTACACAGTTGGGAGAGCTGAAAATGGGGGGGGGGGGGGGGGGGGGGGGGAGCTTGGTTCTAGAAGAGGGGGGAAACAGGGCGTGTGCGTTCTGTTTCAGGTGGACAAATAATTCAAACTTTGTTAAAAGGCAAATTTCTGTCATGATTAAGCTAGATATATACCTCGATTAGGTCCTAATATTTAACTTAAATATTACGCCGCGCAGTAAAGCTGTAAAGATGAGCAGTTAACACTCCCAATCTAATGTGGTAGTACACAAAGTTCCGTCACCAGCGCACAGGTGGTCAATACAACATGTATCATTTATAGAGTAAACCTAATGGTACACACTACTGAAACCTGATACAATATCATTGAGCCATAGCTGCCATCACGTGACCTTTTCTAGCGACCTAAAATGTATCCTTGGAATTTAGTAATAATTATATTTTCTGATCATCGTATTGATTCGGTTCAAAGCTACTGTATCTTGTTTAATTAAAACTAGTGGAATCATTTTGTTATCGCACGATTACTTTGAACTTGGGAACTATAACAGTCGTACTGGTTTTGATGAAGGTCACAAAGGGCTGGCTGTTGCGATTTAAGCCATGAACAGTAATTAGTAATGTAAATGAGTGTAAGTAATAAGTAGTAATAGGTGTAAGTGGCTATTAAATAAACTTCAGACTGCTTGCTAAGTTAACATATGTATAATGTTAGAATGCTATAATGGGAAAAAGCCAATTTTATAATTCTCATGATTACTAATACTATTCAATATTCATGTGTATTGTGTAAGCCACTAAGTGTTTGTGTACAGTAAAATTGTACAATGTACTTGCACACTTTCAGTCAGATACCTAAAATCAGATACATAATATGATATAATTTTGTAAAATGTTACTGGTGATTAATTATCATGATTTTTAGAGTTCATAATTTCTGATGATTCCGTTAATACGAAACAGGGAAACTGCTCTGGTAAAAATGGCACAAAACGTCAAAACTAATCGAAACATGTTCTCACGTTAGAATATTGACAGATAATCAATATGCGGAGTGCTCACCTGCGATAATGTTGACCCAGCCGACACACCAGAGGTACTGATAAATAAGAGGCACACCCCCTCTTCTTCTTCTGATCACATTATATGCTATGAACAGTACAGGCAGAGCGAAGTGTAACATATAGGGGACTCCAGCTAGCACGTCGAAGGGAATGTTTGAAAATCTGAGGTTACATATGATAAATTCATTTCAGGTATAAACTGAAAAAAGCTGTCAGAAAATTTGGGGGCCCTTTTCATTAGGAGATAATTTTTGAATATATTAAAGTCATTATTGTAACGGTATATTAGAACCAGACAGAAACAAAGTGTGAAGGACCTAAACGGAACCCCTCGGTTTCAGTTCCTTGTTTAACACTACCGTACAGCAAGGACATTCACTGAGTTCGCAAAGGCTGGGCACATAGCTCACTTCACAAGATGCTCTGTCAAATGTTGCTTATATACCGAGAATCTACAGGAAATATTTCCTTGTAGGTTTTAGTCTAGTCAAAATAAGAATAAAGTTACGAACCTGGACAATATTTGATGGGGAAGACATTGAAACATACTGTATTCAATGATAGGGAGTATAGTGTGTGGTTCTTCTGGTAAATTTAGCGTCTGAAAAAGAGAGAATTATGAAATGAAAAAAGTTACCTCACATGTTCAGAAATTTAGTTAGTAAATGTGTAATTCGAGTGAAACTTCAAATTTTAATGAAAGTTGGCATTTTATATAAATAAAAAATAATTTTGCAACACAAAAATATGATAAATTTAATTCATTTACCTCTTTGAGAAAGAGATATGATTTGAAAATAGTGAGGTACATTAAGAGAGGAAGAGCGGAGATGACCAGCAGTTTGATGCTGACAAACTCAAGGAGATGACTAACATAGGAGCAGTAGCCCGTCAAATCTTCCTGTTTGTTTCTACATTCTGATTTTAAGACTTGGTGGATTGTATCTGTGAACCTGAACACATGGTCATTTTAAAAATGTATTTTCATATTTAAGAAGATTCAATAATGGAATGGAGTAACGGAGTTGGAACTGGAAGTTTGCGTTCTCTAACTCAAACGAAATTGAGGCTTCTTACCTATTCCAGCTGTTCCAAACGTTTGCTAAGTGTATTTTCTTGTTTTCCAAGACTTGACCAGACTTCCCATTGCCCAACCCCAGAGCATTTTTGCTCATTCCTACAGAATTTTCGGATTATTTAAACAAGTATCTAATTTTCTGGATGCTGAAGTCAATTTCAAACACAATTACTACAAGCATGAAGATATAACTCAACTTTCAACGAATAAAGAATAAATTAAAAACTTAAAACCTGATTTAAATAATGTGAAAATGCTGTAAATAGTCAAATTCTGTCATCAATAAAGTAGAGGATGTCATGTTTAACATATAATATCCTAGCCTGCTATCAAAGATTACCAGTTACGAATCTGAACAATTGCTTGTCTTTGGCTTGAGTATAGTCTTGGCAACCGTGACGTAAGTAAAATTTGATCGCATTTTTATTCCAATTTAAAACAGAGAATTCCATGGTTGAGCAGCCTTTTTCTTTGCACTTGTTGGTCAAAGCACTCCAAAGTTTGTTTCCGATTCCTTGTCTTCTGTACTTTTCTTTGACAAATAAATCCTCTAGATACATTTTCTTCCCACTTTCAATGTCAAATGTGTATACAAAAATTGCAAATCCAATGATATCATCTTTCAGCTTACAAATAAGGCAATCGAATTTGCCTTTTTCTAGGTCAGTTCTCAATCTCTCTGCATCTATTTCAACAGATGATTCCATTTTTTCATACTTGGCAAGTTCATTTATCATGTTCCAGATTTCGTCACAATCTTTCCCGCTAGCTTGTTTGATGACTGTGACATCCATAGTAATCTGACAGAATTACAAACAATCAGACAACAAAAATTGCAAATCCAACACATTCATAATCAGATTTTTAAAATCTAACACTTATTTTCCTTCAGACATTCCAACAGCCAGATTGGTACACAAGTGTGACCAGCCAATTACAGAAGCCGTTAGCCGAAGGATATTCACCAAATTCATTCAACTAGCATTTAAATAAACTTTTCAAATTGACAGAAATCCTAGAATTATGCTTACTAGTTACTAGCAAAGATTCAAGTAAATGGATTGAGACCACCCAAGAAATAATCTGAAAACCACTGCATCAGGAGGAAAAAAAGTCGGAAGGATAGTCACTGACCACTGTCAAATTCGTATTTCAATCTTCTAATCAAACAACACCTTATGACCAGGAATCGAAGCACTTCTATGTTGTCACTTATAGGTGTAAAATGGCCACGGGCCTAAATATTACATATCAATCAATTACAATTCATTAACATTACCAATATTAAAAACTGTCCAAAATATCTAAGAAAACAACTAAAAACAACGGAAGTCTTCATATCTGTCAAATGAATGTCAGTGGGCTATCAAACAGGTCTATTACAGCAATTGATAGATTCAACTTTAAGTTCAAAAATGACATTGTGGCTCTACAAGAAACTCTACTGGATAACTCCAGACCCCACTTAAATACCTTTCATAATCTGGATACATTTTCGGTAAACAATAGCAGAGGAGTGTCCACCAGTGTTTCCCCCAGGCTTGTCCCACAACAAATCAGTGAACTTCAAGATACAACCACTGATGCACTCTGGATCACTGTTAGGTACAATTCAACGGTAGTAATGATTGGTAATGTATATGTAAACCACTCCCTAACTTCTACAAACAACCTGAGCTCAGCACTTACCAACATCACAAAAGCTCTCCAATACTGCTCCAAGTTCAAAATCAAAGATGTAATAATAATTGGTGACTTCAACAGTAGGCACATCTCCTGGGGAGATATCATCACAACCGACCGTGGAAGACAGCTGGATTCATTCATCGCTCAGCATAATCTGACATGCATCACTCCGAACACCAATACATTCGTCTCCCATAATGGTGGGAGTATCATTGACCTTGCTTTGTTGAAGGGTAAAGTATGTAGGCTATACCAATCGTCCAGCATTGACAGTGAAAGTGAACTCTTCACAGGTGCTCCAAATAGAGGTCACTTACCAATCATCCACCAATTCTGTCATGCACAAACTGCTCAATCTGCATCTCCTCTTCTCTACTGGGACATTGATAAAACAGACTGGAATGCTTGGTGTGGATCACTTAACAGGGCCCTTCTCCTTGGCATAACTGGCAGGATCAACTCTTACATAGACCCTCTAAAGCTGTGGCAAGACTTTAAAAACATTTTATCTGCGATTGGTAATGAATGGATTCCTCTCAAGAAAGTCAGTACCCACTCAAAACCTTTCTGGAACTCTCTCCTTACAGACCTTTCACGAACTCTTCAAGCTGCGCAGGAAACCATGAAAACCAGCTACACACCGTATAACGTCTCCCTCCACAAACAAGCAAAGGAGGAGTTTTCTAATACCTTGATATCCGAAAAAAACAAATGGATTCATCAGCAACTGGAAAATCTCAATGTTGCTCAGTCTCAAATATTCTGGAAAAATTATAAGAAGACATTGACCAATAAGCCTAACGAGTACATGGGAAATCTTATGGATGGTGGTATCCTCCACTCTGACAGAACTCAGAAAGAAAACATCTTGTACAAATCATTCTTCTCGGGTGAACACATGAATGGATGCAGTTTTGATCATGTCTTCGAACAAGAAATCAATAGCTGCTATGACAACATTATATCGACTCAGTTCCCTACCGACCAATTAGATCACATCATTAATGATCATCTGAATGGGAAAATAGGTCTAGAGGAAGTTACTTTAGCACTGAAGGCTCAAAATAGCAATGCCAAAAGTTTTGACACTGATAATCTTCACCCAAAAATCCTGAAACATCTGCCTGTGTCAGCTCTTCGGATTCTAACAAAACTATATGACCTTGTCCTTGAAACTGGTGTATGGGTCTGGGAGGTATCCAATGTCACTTTCATCAAAAAGGATGGGAAGGATAACTACATGAACCCCTCTGCTTATAGACCAATATCGATATCATCATATGTTGGAAAGCTGCTAGAAAAGATCTTGGAACGAAGAATAAAGCTCCATTGCGAACTAGAGGGCTTACTCGACGAAGAGCAAGAAGGCTTTAGACCTCAAAGAAATACTGCAAGGTATCTTTATAAATTAGTAGCTACTCTAGATGAATGCAAGAGGAAAAAACTCACTACTTTCCTACTATGCATCGATTTTAGCAAAGCATTTGATAGTGTATGGGTGAAAGGCCTGATTTTCAAGCTCAGCAAATACCAAATACAAGGGAACATTTTGCGGATAATAAATAACTTCCTGTTATCCCGCAAAGTACGGCTGAGGGTTAACAACAGTCTCGGATTTCAACGCTCATGTGGATGGTTTGGGCTTCCCCAAGGCTCTGTCCTTGCACCCCTGCTATTTATCCTCTACATCTCGGATATGTTATGCAAGGACCAGCTGCCACTGGAATGCAGCTCTAACTCAAGCCTCTTCAAATATGCTGATGATGGAAGCATAGCAGTCTCTCACATAGATCCTATATGTGCTCATCGAATTATGCAGTTGATGTGCAAGTACCTTCATGTCTGGTGCAGTAAGTGGAAACTTATCCCAAACTGCGACAAAAACAAGACCGAGTGTATTATGATCACACCAACATCCTCATCTGGACCTGATGTCACAGCCTTTGGACCACTCATTATCGGCAATAGACCCATAACATATACATGTCAATCAACTGTTCTTGGACTGAGGATAGACGACAAACTTACCTTCAAGAGTCACGCAAAATTTAAATTGAAACAATGCTGGTTTGCCTGGTACAGGATCACTCAAAACTCCACCCGCCACAGAGGCCTGAATGCAAGCTCACTCAAAATGCTCTTCAAAACAGTAGTACTCACAAAACTTCTATATGCTGCTCCAATATGGCTAAAAGATAACCTAGACACTTTCAAAGACTTCTATGCCAGGGTCCTCTTGAAAATAAGTGGATCCACTCACCATCCTCCCAAAGATTTGACATCTGTCGCGCTTGGAATTCCACCCCTTGAGATATCCTACAAGATGATCACCATAAAATTCATAATAAAAGCACTTACAAGTGACCCATTTATGCAAGGACTCATCTTACAGCTAGAGGAGGCAAAGGCCCATCGATATCAGCACCATATTGATGAGATACGTAAGTTCCTAACGTGGAAAAGGGGGTCCAACGAGCTCAATAGAAGCAGAATAGACCTTCTGACTAGTGTCCACAACGGTGTTGTCAGCTACTCAAAAGACGAAATAACCCGCTTTATGGACTTCACTTGGAATAAACATCTCCTACTGAACCCTAGAATTAATCCGGGTGAGATACTGGATAACATCGATAAGAGGAGCAAAAAGTTGTTTCCTCGCTATTCAAGCAGGAGCACAGACACTAAAGTAATGTCTCTCTTGCATGGCCATGACATCACCTTCACAGCATTCAAGGCAAGGGTTGCCAACAACTGCGACCCTCAGTGTCCGAATTGTCAGATGTTGGACAACAATTACCATCGAATCTTCTCTTGTCCACTGTACCGCTGTTCCTACAGAGAAACCATTCAAGTGCACTCCACTAGTGACCAACCATGCTGGTCTATCTTAAGAGATGGTAGTGATGGCAGCATCACTGCCTTCCGATCTTTAGCACAGATCGCCATCGATGAACTATCATAGAATTGATACTTATACTTATAGTGCTCCTTCACCTCCATCCCCCTTCATGTCCTACATCTCCTTATGACATCACTCCCCCTTCAGCCTCTACTACTCCTTTACTACTCCATCTACTGCCTCATCTTCTGGACATCATTATCTTCTAGTTTAGTTGAGAATTCTCAACACCCACTTCCAAGTCGAGTACTCTCGACCCACTTAGTCCACATACCTTGCAAACTTACAGCAGGGTATTTGTAATGGTCTAAGTCCCTAATACACGCCAAAGATGGTTCCTCTATACTCAACCGTAGGAGAAGAGAATTAGGTGACTGTATTTTGTTCTAATGTTGATATTAATATAAGTATGTTCTAGTTGTTACTCCTTTTGTTTTAACGTTTTTATGGTACTCTCCTTAAATTATTTCAATGCAGTCACTCAGATGATTTTTAAATCAGGACACTTAAATAAAGACACATACTCTGCCCACAATAAGGGGCCATAATTTTAAATTATGTAACAGTATAGAATTATTATTATTATTATTATCTAAGAAAGTATTCTCTAGCCAAAGGGCTCAATATTTAAATCTAAATCTTCAATATCGAAATAAATGTTGTCTTTAATACCTCAAAGCGCACGAAAGATTCCATCTTTTGTGCAAGCTTTTTAATCAACCGTTGCGCTTCGAGTTTCGACTCCCATGCCTGCTGTTGTGGAGAAAACTAAAGGTGTAAAGGAAGCTTTTTCCACTTCTATGACCCTTGCATTATATGCTCTTTTCTTCTCAGTCTCGTGAGCCAAATACATCATATGAATTGGTTAAGCTACGTTGGTTGGAGCAGGAGCGTGAAACACTCTTACGTCGAAAAATGATCTTTCAAACGCATTCCGAACTGATCTTGCTGGTATATCTAGTCGGGCTTGATCTCCAGTTACTGTACCTCGTGGTAACTGCATGCCACTGACTGGAAGAAGGGGGGGCTCTGTCTGAACGTCTTTGCATTCGACTGTCCGCATGATATTAGCTATTGTATCTCGAAGTGAGTTGTGCCTCAAGGTCACATAACCCCCAAGTTTACACGTGAGGGCATGGTTTGCGGAGTATTTACACTTTACAACAATTTTAGATAGAGTACACACTACTAAATATTACACTCAACATATTACAACAATCCTGAAGTAGCTAGGCTTTTATCAAGAAATCGGGCATTCTGCGTACGGACGAGCTCATGAAAATGCAAATACAGTAAAGTACGCGGCACCCCTCAAAATTGTTTCCCAAATTTTTAGTACTGTAATACGGCCAACGGTGCAAGTTTAAAATTATATTTCTACCGAAAACACATTTAATCTAATGCATATAAAATATTTCTATGCTATAACATATAATTTGTTTGGTTTGCACTAATTGTTGGCGTTTTGCGATTACTATTAGACAGGGGATTGTTGAAATCATTTTTGAGACACCTCGATTAACAATATAAAGCTCTTTACGCTTTTGTCCTAGCTTCACGAAAAAATATGTCAGTATCGTTTCGAGTTTGTTTTAAAATAGTATTACAAACTTTATAAAGCGCGCCTATCTAGTTTATGCGCGGCACTCTTTTCGAGCTTCTTGCATTTTAACGGGTGATACTCGTAAAATATCTGTTCCATATATTTCAGCGCGCGTCCTGGTAGGTTGTAAACCTACAACTTGCATTCTCTTCTTATATTAATTCTTTTTATGTTAAGGAAACAAAGCTAGAGACTAGCAACTTAAATATTAATATAATGCCGGGCAGCGCTTAGCTGAGGCCTTAGCTGTAAATTATATAGTATAAAGGATTGAAGACAAATATAACAAACTGTTTTAATTTTTAAGTAGGTTTATAACCTACCAGGGCGCGCGCCGAGTTGAAACAAATATTTCACAATTATCACCCATTACCTGGGGACCTCAGGCTATCGTGTTCATAAACATAAAGATTTAGAATATTATAGATTATGCGGAATGACAGGCTGAGCGCGGCTTAGTAACACGTACACATGTCTACAAAGTATCAAATCACTATATGAAAAAAACCTGCACTACGTGGGTTTGGTTATCAACTGCATTGTAGCAGTTCAATAGTACTCAATACTCGAAGATTAGGAAACACTCAAGTTAATAAACTCGATCTTTAATTTTATTTATTTATTAAGTCTTACTGGGCCGCGCTCAGCCCGTCATTCCACCGAATCTATATTATATGTTTATGAACGTAATAGCCTGAGGTCCCCAGGTGAATTAAGTCTTACTAACTCCTCAATTAAATTTTCTAAACAATAAACGGATGATGTAATTTTAACTCAGAGGATTTTTAAAACAATCACTGTTTTCATTACAGGCCAAAAACACACCAATTGAAGATATGGAAAATGAACAGGCTGGCGTTGTCCAGTCAGCCAAATACATGCTAGTGATGCTCAAATTTGGTTTGATAGGGCAATCTACTAAAAATGAGAGCACGGTTTTTCTGACTAGGCAAACTGTAAACCGATATGGAAATGCTGACTGAAAAAGACTATTCAGTCTGGCTGACAGAGCAGCAAAGGTTCCATAGATTGGAGATTACAAAACTAAGTTGGTTTAAACTATATATAGCTCCAGAAGAGATAGAAATGACGAGACTGACATGAAAGTGGGTGTACTGAAGCATATGCTCAATTATTGTATATTCTTCATAAAGATCTATCAAGTTCCGGTAATGGTCAAAAGAGTCTAAGCCATATCATATCCTCACAAAACACAGCTTTAGCTTATTATTTATCTGAAAATCATGCCTGTTTCCTGAGACCATTGTAATGATCCATTATAGATCAATGAGTTAGCTCCAACTCAACGATCGCCACCATATAACAAGAATTGTTATCCATTACAATACCGAGCTTTGAAATGTAAATATAACAGATGTTCTGTTTTAATACTATCTGTTCATATTTGTAGGCATGTTGACCCTGTGGCAGAATTAGCTATGGTCTGTCAATGATGATGCTGCTCATTCTGATACCATGGCTCTGTAATTTTGCAGGTAAAATTATCGTTTAGTTTATCCATCATGCAACTCTTTAATACATTCCATTAAACTAGAACAGATTTTATAATCACTTCTGATGAAGATCACTAATTTTCATCTTCAATCAGAGGGACAGTACCTCAGTGTGATTCCAGTCCTAGAAGAAGTTGTCGCTCTAAGAGAGGGACAAACAGTCACCCTATCAGCCACACTAGACCACAGTTCCACTGTTACCATCTCTAAGTTTGATTTTTCATGGACCAAGGTAATTTTAGAATTAAACTTGTAATCTACAAGAGTTTTTATTCACACTGAAATTTTTACCTTGACATGTCTTCCTTAAATTTTGTAAAGATAATACATGTTCAGACATCCGGCAGCTTGCCATCTGATGCTCAGTTTATCTTCACTGGTACCTCATCTCAACTGATAATCAACAGGTTTGTCGTTTATCTGAAAACAGAAACTTCTGGGATAGTTACTAAGTTGTTCTTTTCAGAAGAATATCGTAGTTCCACCGAAAAGTCGTTAATAATGCCGCTGTACATTAAATTATAAAAGAAACTTTGCCAAAATTTAATTGATAAGATGTCACATCACATGATTTTGCTTCTCTAATGGTTAGGTCATAATTGGTAAATATACCGCATTTACTTGGAGCCAAAGGCCAAAGCATCAGCTATTATATTGTTTACCATATATATAATACTTAAATACCCCTTTCTATACTTGAATACCGCAATAATTACTTGATGATCATACACAACATAATAATAGGAATACATTAATATGCTATGCCTTATCCAAAACATAACTTATCTGAACACCTCAATACCAGAGTAAAGATAGAGGATGAGGGTGAGTACAGTGTGACAGTGAGAGGGAGGAGGAATGATGGAGGTTACATTGACAAGAGTGCTGAAATTATTCTCACTTTATTAGGTTTGTTTAGTGAAACTCACAGTAATAATCTTTTTGTTGTGAGTTTTCAATCTTTATTTCGTGATAATACGTTTGTGGTCATCCCATATGTGCTTATAATAACAGCTGATAAAATGATGAGGTATCACTTTATTTTTAATATCTTAATTGCAGCTCCTCCGATATTGATAGGTTGGGTCTTCAATAAATGGGAGTTAAATTAAAATTTGTTTTCCATTTTGAAAATATCTTTATCAAATATAAACCGACTTCTAGAACCTCAGAAGATGAATTAATGACAATATTCTCCTAGGACAGATAAAGATAGAACCAGAGTTCCCTGTAAAGTCTGTGATATGTTGCGGAGCTGTTGTTACTTTATCTGTCACAATCAACCGTGAGACAACAAATTGATCAATCAAAATTTTAATTTTTTGATGAGTAAATGTGTAAATCGTATTTTTTCCATGTCAGGAAACAAACTGTGGAGTTATTAGTTACGCTCACATTCAATTAATTGATTAAATATTGTAATAACCGAAGAGCAAAAGGAGCAACCTATGCTAAACCGTTATCCTCGGTGGCATATCCACAGAACGGTCCAAATCTAATTGCCACCGTTATTCTCAACCTGAATCTCAATCTTTGGTTACTCACAGCAATACAGTCTGTATAGTTTGTGTGATGTTGATAAGATTTGAGTGATATCACTTTACCAAACGTTCAAGTGAGGCCCCGGCCAGCTTCAGTGTCGACAGGTGTGGTAATGTTTAGCGTACAGATTGACAGTAAAACGATCACATGCTCTAAAATGATCACGTGCTCTAAAACACTAATAATAGGGTGTAAACGCGTCTTTAGTGAGGGTCTTCTCTCGCCGTGTGTCCCAAATGTGAATTATATTCTTGTGAAAATCTTGTCATGTACCATTTACTGCAGACGGGAGATATGTTTGTATTTTATCGATATAATACGGAAGGTATTTTACAATTTCGGAGTATTAAATCCAGACCAACTTGGGACTTCAAACTAAGAGACGCTTAGCCGTGAAATTTGATCCAAATTGGTTCAAGCCTTTCCGAGGTTGACATTACCTTTTAGTTTAGAAAAGGGTCGATCATCAGTCGCAAAAACCGGACTATCAAATTGTGCTGAAATTTTCAAAAGCGGTTAAAATCGAGTCATAATAGAGGTCAGTATAACAAAAGGTTTGAGCAGCGAATATTTGATGCGGGGGTCAACCAAATGAACTACAATTAAAGACTGTTCCTATCAAATTAATTAAGTTCTAAAGAAATTTCAATGAGCGAGCGGGAGTAAGTAATTGACTGAAAGCCGCCATTGCCTCTGCATTATAAGGTCAATTGACGTTTGAAATTGTGGCTGACTACTACATGCATGCATGACACCTTATCATATGACGACATCAGACCCCAGCTAGACAACATGTAACTCATCTCGTTATCGATCACGTGACACGTTACATGCCGTCTAGCGGGGTCTAATTAGCGGGGGTCTCTGCAAAGTGGGTGTACCGTGGAGATACACTGTGCTTCTGTAGTTACATTTTTACAATATTACACTGTAACGTTACAACACTGTTACACTAGTAGTTATTAGGTTATTGTCTTTGTTACACCGTGTTTCAGAACAACATCCTAACTCTGATACTGTTCCAGGTGATGTTGAACCTGGTGATGTCAAGTGGACCAGGGAGGATTCAAACTGGAAAGCAGACAGGTTCTCTTTCTTTTACCTTCAAACACACAGTACTTGTTTCTACAGCTTATTTTACTACTTACGTATATGGTTCACGAAAAACAGTTGCTAGTTCTGTGTTTCACATTTTCATTATAATCATCGTGGTATGATTACTATGATAGATACTTAATTAAACCATGTCGTTAAAACCATCTTTATTTGGGCAACACACACAATCGCAATTACAATTTGTTAGCACCCCACACTCTCTCGAGTATTTTAAAGATAGGTTTGAAGTGAGAATTTCACTAATATTCACTATATAACGTATCACATCTTACAGATACCTTCCAAGCTCTCAAAACTTGGAGCTGATAATATCAGATATCAGAGAATCAGACTCAGGGACGTATGTAGTTGAGGTTACACGTGACAACTTCTCTGGATCCGCTGCCATACTTCTCCTTGTTCGAAGTGAGATAAAACAACTATCACGTGACTGTCACGTGATAGTCACGTGACCTTACATTTACTTAAATTCGACATTAGAGCGATCAGTATATTATATCATATTCACAATTGGACGTAATGTAGCACTTTTACAATTAAATCTCTTGAAATAACTAACCAAACAATAAGAATAACCTCCAGAAAGACTTAAAATGTGTAATAAAATTAAACCTAAACCCCTGCACAGGTAAACCAAAGATAACAGGAGAGGTGCTGGTTGAACGATCTGTTGGACAGAGTGTTTACCTGCAACTCACCTTCAATCCAGTGTTAGTTGTATATACTGATAACACAGTTTGAGTTCCTGTTCCGAAGTTAGACTTAAAACCTTATCTTAGTCTTAAATCTAAATCCAACCTATAGTATGTGTACTTTCTGTGTATTGATGTTATTTGTTAATGCTAACAGGGTAAATATAGAGATTATTAAGTTATTAAGTTACTAAGTTATTAAGTTATTAAGTTACTTACTTAATTATTTGAGTTATTAAATTATTAAATTATTAAGTTATCAAGTTATTAAGTGACTTATCTAATTATTTAAGTTATTAAGTTATTAAGTTATTAAGTTACTTAATTAATTATTATTAAGTTAATACTTACTGTGTACTGACTTTATGTGTTTACTCTTACAGGGTGGATCTAGAAGCGATTACTTGGTTTAAAGACAACAAGAAGATTGTAGATAATCTCTCTTCAGATGGAACTCAGCTTCAAATAAACAACGTTAGAAGAACCTTGTTGTTAATTTCTTTGTATCGGATTTTTGTACCTTACTTAATCAACAGAAACTTCTCTGAAAACTTGTGCCCGCTCGCAAATATCTTTTGCTTATATTTTACGATTTTGTCAATTGGTAACATCTTATAATTTGATTTACTATCAATATCAATCTCACATAATTGATCAATTAATTCAGTTATATAATTGGTTTCTAATTAGTCAACAACACACCAGGTAAAAGTTGAAGACAGTGGGGTGTATACTTGTATAGCAAGTAACAGTGTCGGGACTGGACAACATACCACACAGATAACAATTACAGGTTCTTATCAGCTGGATTTCTTATTTTATCAGTTGTTTAGAGTTTGAAATGTCTGATAATTCCGTATTATAGGCGACTCATAAAGTATGTTCACATCCGGATATTACAGTAATACTGCAGTTAGCTACTTCTTATCTTATCTTAGGAATTAGACTTGTTATCTTCAGTTATACTTGTGGCATTTATAACGATATTAGTAAATCTGACTAATCCCATAATAAATCATCAATTCACACTTTTATCATCTAACGTTAAACATAATAATATCTCCAATTGTTTCCAATAAAAATATCAACATAATATGATCATTAAAATGATTCCCATCACCATGGTGTTGTAGTAACCATGGCAACCCAGGTATCCCGATGCTAGAAATAACACCACTCAGCCAGCACGTGACACCCGGTGATAAGATGCAGATATATTGCAGGGTTACTCAGCGTGCCACTCTTAAATGGTATCTAAATGATATGGTTAGTGATCTCGCAAGGTAGCACCAAGGTAGCACCAGAACAGCATGCAGCGGTTCAGTGCTAAATCCCCTAAATCTCAACATGTTTGAAATTACCAGTCTACCGTATAATTTATCCGAAATTTCGTCTCTTTCGAATAATTACTTTTATTTTACAAATACATTACTCTGTAATCTGTTCCATTTAAAAACGTTCACCACGTACTCTAAAAATACCTGCCAGGAGCTTCCAAACAAGGTGCTACTACCACGTGTAAAAGTATACGGGTCCAACCCTTCCTACATCCTGATACTGAACTTTCTACCTAAGCATCAGGTATAATAGCTATCTCTACAATTATTCTATAACACTTGTGCTGGGCTCCATCTTTGATAGACATTTCTAGAATTATAATAACATTACGCTAATCTAACTGCGTATAATGCGATTACACTATTAATTGCACGAGGCGCAGCCGAGTGTAAATTGATACAATAATCGCACGAGGCGAAGCCGAGTTCGATTATTGCAGTTATTTCACGAGGCGCAGCCGAGTGCAATAACTGGTGTAATCGTATTATACATGCAGTTAGATTCGCGTATAACTCCACGCTTCTGGTGTTATATAATCGGTGAGATTAGTTTATAATCGCACGGACTGTGTTGTTAGCTGCTCTAAGACTAAAAACAGTGAGATTATAAACAAATCGCACTGTTTTGAGAGCACTGAGCAACTCAAATGAACAGCGCACTCCAACCCTCCACTTCAACCCGAAACCTCCTTCGAGAAAAGAAGTGACGTCATCCGCCGACTCTCTCTCGATTGATTTGTAGTTATTTTGTACAATCTAGTAGCTCCACAAAAATGTCTGATAACCACCTCAACAGAGGGTCAAATACAGATAAGAAAAGTAAAAATAGGATAGCCGTCCGATGCTCAATGCTCCTGTTATGTGATTGGTCGGATCTGAGTCACGTGACATAACTCATTGATTGCTATTGGCCGCTAGGATGGGATGGACCAAGAATCGGCCCGTCCCTATTATCTGCAGTTGTGATGGTTGTTTGAACGTTTTGCTTGCCTGCTGTGGATTTTCAGACCACCCAAGTATCACCCGTTAAACTTAAATCACCTCTGAAAGTTATTAATATATCACAGTATCTTACACAGTGCGAATATATATATAATCGCACCGAATATGTTTTCGGTTGCTCTCAAAACAGTGCAATTAGTTTTGTAATTGCACTCCCTGGAAAAAACCGGTGCAATTATGAAAATAATAAGTGGCCGTCAAATAGGTCAAAAGTGGAGTCACTGCTGCAGTTAAAAAGGGTAGGAGTAATTACCCGTTGAGTCAAAACCCGCATTAGGTGAGCAATTCTATTCGGAGTGCCCTCACGTATCCAATGGTACGCCTATCATATTTGTGAAGATGCATTACATTGTCGTATGGAAGTATGAACTCTCTCTGCAGTCCAAACAGACCGTTTGAGCTCTCCCTCCCCTAATAAGTTTATAATATTGTTATTATTATCAAACTTTACACAAATCCAAAGTAGTTACTAAGAACATCCTAAAGACCTGATAAGTCTACTTAAAAGACTTGTAGAACTGAAAACTTACTATAAATACAAAAAATGGAACTTAAAACTGAACTTATCAAAATCAAAAATTATGCAAAAAATTGAACTTAAAACTGAAATTATCGAACTAATCAAATTTAAAATAAATTTCTCCACAATTGGCGGTTCGAGGCTAAATACCTTAAGTCTGTCAAGTCGTCACTATTATTCAAATTAATATTTCTTTTATTCAAATCGTCTAAAATAGTTTTAAAAATATTACATTGATGTCTACCAATCCTTCCCCTCATATTTGACATACTATCAACAGCAAAATTTAGAGCTAGTTGTGGTGGTGAGTTGCAGTCGCTACGAAGAATGTGCCCAAACATTTTCCAGCGGGATTTATGAACTCTCTCTGAGAGTGGAGTTACATTGCAACGAGCATACAAGTCCTTGTTGCTGATGATGCGGGGATAGGTCATGTTGATGATACGCCTTAGATGTTTGCGTTGACACACATCAACTTTATTGATAATGTTCTGTGGAGCTGCCCAGCTGTTACAGTTGTATAATAAAACAGGGGTAACAAATGCTTCATACAGCTTGATTTTTACAGGAAGAGAAATGCGGGATTTCTCTGCCCATACCTTGCTGTATTTCTCAAAGGCAACGTAAGCAAGGATGCATCGGCGAGAGATATCAGCCTTACTGCAGAGCTTGGATCCAAGAGAAATAGTGTTGCGCCAGGGCTCTCTGTTCTTCACGGGTTCACCCTTGGCGTCTACCTCGTCCTTATCTGCAATGTAGAAGTGGACATGTTCTGTTTTGTCCTCGTTCACAAACAGATTCCATTCTTCAAGGATCTCCTTACATATGGGCAGCATTTCTTTAAGAGTTTCCTCATCCTCGTCTGCAAAATCGCCATCGTCGGCGTATTCCCATTCAATAGGCATGAGGGTCTCGGGGTTGAACGGTGGGTTAGGCCGAATGGTAATCACTACTGCACGGAAGTGGTATAAAGCTCCAGCAAAGTACAGTGTGAAGAATGCACCAGATGCAGCATCACCTTGAAACGAACCCTCGGATGTTTCAAACTCTAAGGAAATGGTGTTGTTGATTTATTTTATTGTACACAATTTATTGTTATATACTAAAATGTTTTTAAACGCATTTGAGTCTGACTCAAAATGTGCTCAAGAATATTTGTGTTTAACACACTTTTACTCTCGAGTAATATGGAAAAGTTGTTACACGATATTTTCCATAAATAAATTGATTTTCATCCCTTTTTATTTTATTAAAAATTGTGTAGACTATTCTTTGTACCTAACTGAGGATTGAAAGTGTGAGAAAGGACCATGGTCATTAACCGTGCTACCCATTTCTGCAAATAGCCTGTTACAAATTGCGGAGACAATTCAAATCAAAAGTTACAATTTTTGTCCGTTTTTGTCCGTTCGGTACCCTATTTTCTGAAAACGGACAAAATCGAACGGACAAAAACGGACATATATTTTACGGTTTTTGCGGAAAGTCCTGTAAAAGTTGATGCCGTGGTGTCAGTAAAATGGTACGGATATATAAACAGATATATATATATATAATATATATATCGTCTCGCTTTATATATAGTAAGATATATAGTCGGATCCCAACCGTTCTAAAAGGCTATCTCGTTAGCTTTTCGTGTTAAAAGCAACTTCTCAACGGTTATCACCTCTCTAGATGATTCTTAAAACATTTGGACTTCATTGCAATTTTGAAATAAATGCAATGAGGGCGTTTTCGGCCACACCCTTTTTCAGGGTTTTGCGGTCACTCGAATTTTTGTATTTCGACCCAGGAAATGCTTCGTTTCGGAAATATGGCCGAAAAACGGTTTTTGGCTTGACGCAGTTCATAATTTCCGTGATTTTTGGCATTTCCGCCTAGGAAGGTCGTAGAGACTATTCTGATACACTAAAATGTACATAATGGCCACATTTATATACAACGTATGAAGCAACACAGACCCTAAAAGGCTTACTTTCGGATATGTGGCTTAAAAACGGATTTTTGCCAAGCAAACAATGACAGTATTCACAAATGGGCTATTGGACTGTTAACTAGAAAGGTCTTAAAGACTCATGAGCAACATAGCATTTGTCACAAGATGTAAGATGACTCACTTTCTGTCCAGAAACACCTACAAAAATTGGAGAATGATCTACTTTATTGGGCATCTCTCTTAATGGGCCATGACAGCAGCATATTTGTGTCTTACGAAAGGGCAATTTTTCTAAAATTACGGTTCCTTAAGGTCAAAGGATCGGCTGCTAACAGCAAATTGTTCGCAATTGCCGACTCATGCACATCATATACTCAAAAAAGCTCACTTTAGGAGTCATTAGTAAATAACTACTACATGATTTGTGACAACTCCAACAATTTTTCCTTGGCACCAATTTAAATAAAATGTGTTGACCAAAATTCAACTTTAAACTTTTTATTTATTCATGCCATGAAACCATGATATATGTACCAAGAATACCGAACCTAAAATAAATCGGCACTGGATCCGGGCCAGATTGTTGCTTGACCGCTGACCAGTACCCCACTTTATAATTATGATTGATTTCGCTGCCTCGACCAATATTGTGTAAGCAGTCATCACTTGCTTCAGATTTGTAGATTATTTGTAGTAATTTAGGTTACGAACAACAAAAACGAAAGTAATAATGATGGTAAAAAAGGGTAAGAAACAAAATGATTAACAATCCAATTACTACAAAACACACTTCCTAATTACTCTGACTTATGACGCCCTACATCTACTGTAAAACACACGTCCTTACTCTACCCTTACCTATCACGGTTAACACTCGTTAACCGTCTCTAACGGAGTCTTACCCTTAAACTACACCTACATAACACTTTCAGCCCTCGCTGACCGTCCTTATATCAGCCCAAATCCACTATAGTTCATTCTCGCTCTACCTGAGCCCGATTGTTGTTGACACGAACCCACTCGTGTTGGATTAACCCGTGCTAACCCTGGCTACAACACAGCCTATTCCTGCTCTCCTGAGTTAACCAATGTTGACTCTCCCTACGCTTAAACCAGACTGCTCATGAACTCCGCACAGTTCCACTAACTACAGTCCACGATAATGCTCTCTCCAGGATCCTGACGTAACAGGTCCTGGCTCCAAAGTGTCCTACATCAATGGCCCTCCTCGAATCGGGCAAACTCAATCCCTCCTTTGCCAGGTCCAGCCCCCAGATATAAATACTGCCGCGTCCGTGGTTTTTCACCCGACCTCTCTAACCAGACTCACGTGCCCCTGTTCACACCTTTGGCAGCTGGTCTTATCTCCCACTAAAGCTTCATTGTCCCGAGTCCAGGTGTTACGACTATTCATCTTTTTACCAAAGCTTCCTGTCTGATGACCTCTGAATCCATAGTTTGTTAGAACTCACATCTATCTTTGACTCTCTATCTACACAAAGGCTTTACGTCTGAGGTTTCCTAAATTCATTGTCTCTCCTCTAGAGTAACATATTTCTCGTCTGTCCAGGTGAGGTTTAACCCATTATCCAAATCTATCAAATAATCTAGATCAAATAATCACGGCTTACAATTGATCTGTAATCCCTGGATTGAGATCTGTTGGCCGCAGTTTAATTTAGCTAATTTCCTATAATACTGCAGTAGTTTGGTTCCCACTTCAGAATGACCCCATATTCTTTTTTTCAGTCGCATAGATTTTCTTATCGTATGATAATGCGTG